CTTTAGTCCTTTCGGTCAGTCTTGATACTACTAGCGGACTCTGGGAGGTGATCAAGCTCCCCTTCTGCCACCTAAGGGCAGTCTCATGCAAAAACCCTTGTTCCTACCCTTTCCATCAGGCGTTGCTCCTTACATTAGTTCCCGTACCTCTTCGGTTGTGCTCTGGGGAACTGGCCTCGGTGTGTCAGGAGGGGCCTCCCTCCTACGGATCAAGAGGTCCACTGCGCACCAGGTGAGACTGCCTCTCCTCCTGCCCCAGGAGTCATACACACACCGTCTCTGAACTCTCTGGATTCCTGGCCCAGGCACCGAGAAATGTGGCAGGAAAACAGAGAGACTGTGACACTGAAGCTGTTTCCAGAGGCAGGGTTTATTGGCACCAGCACGACTCAGCGAACAAATGCTCCAAGGCTGAGCAACCCAGAGGGCAAAGGAAAAGATTTTTATATGCCGTTTTCAGATGGGGAGGGTCGGGTTCTGTGGCTGTACATATTTTTGGAATTCGTAAGGTTATAATCAGCAGAAACAGAACTTCAAAGAACAAGTTGTTTACAGGATATACATGACAAGTGGGGGGTCGTAAACCGAGAACTTCCCAAAGAAAAGATGCGGGGGAGGGGTAGTAAGGTTGCAAATCGATTACTACCTTGCATTTGCAGGAAAGCGGCTTGTGGCTGTCTGGCTTTTCTCACATCCCATGTCTAGCAGGTTTGTAGCTTGCAGGTTGATTTTTAAAAAGACTAATTGTAACTGTTTTCAACCTCTCTCTGCTACAATCTGGCTCATGCCTACCAAGTCGACGGGTATCTCTCTGTCCCATAGCTGTGTCATATTACCACTTGTTCTTCAAGGCCACTACTGGTGGTTTTCTTTTCCCAGAATGGCCTCCGCATATTCCATATTGTCAGCCAAATGTGCTACTACTTAGTATTTCAAAGCCTAAGCTCAAGCAATATTTTCTGTGATACCCTCCTTGTTCTAAACCCCCCAAAGTTAGTTATTCCCTGTCCTGATTTATTTTCATACCTTGAATATATTTCTCTTATTTTATTTCTCACATTTCACTGCACTTATTTACCTCTTTGTTTTCTCCTAGTAGACTATAAAATCCTTAAGTAAAAGTTGTATTTATCTTTGAATCTTGGAAAAGTACCTGATATTGAATAAGACCTACAGATGTTGATTGAATGAATGACTAATGGTTATTTGAAAAAGTAGAAAAATTAAGTCATCCAGTTGCCTAGTAATGCCCTAGACTTCCACCTTTATTTACTAGATAAAATATTTCAAAAATCTTGTTAGTGTTTATTATATGTTTCAGGATACTGTCCACCCTTTTGTGGAAGTTTCTTTTCAGCACACCGTATACCAAACCAATACTTCAAGTGGATCTTATCCATGCTGGAATGAAGAAATTAAAGTAGATTTTAAGTAAGTTGGAGTCCGTTTTTCCACAGGTTCTAAAAAAAAAAGCGTAATAACAAAATTATTTCCTTGAGACATTTGTTGAAAATGATGATTGAGATAGCCTTCGTTTTTAAATTGTTAAATGATGACATATTGCATACCTATAAACTAATAAATACTGTATATGTAAACATAAGTTCTGAATAAAAACAATAAAATGAATACACAGGTATCTACCATCCAGTTTAAAAACAGAACATGATCAATGCCTTAGAAGGTCTTCTGTGTCATTACTTAACTGTATCTTCCTTTTCCCCCCCACAGGTAGCAATTGTGAATTTGTATTTATAATTCTTTCTCTTCCTTTATTATTTTACTTCATAGGTATTTATTTCTAAGTGTGCAGTAGTATTCACTTGTACATGTTTTTGACTTTATATAAATTGAGTTATATTGATGCATTCTTCTGTGATCTTGTTCCTTTACTCTTAATTATTTTGAAAGATTCATCCATGTTCATGGTTTGTAGCTTTTTGCTATGGTCTGAATGTGGCCCCTGGCATTCATGTGTTGAAAACTTAATCCCTAATGCAGGAGTGTTCAGAGGTGAGGCCTCATGGGAGGTGAGTAGGTCATGAGGGCTCCACCCTCATGAATGGATCAATACCACTATAAAAAGACTGGGAGTGGGCTGCCCCTGTCTGCTCTTCTGCCCTCCTGCATTCCTGCCATGTGAGGACACAGCATTCTTCCCTGGCTCCTCCTTCCACTTTCAGCCTTGTGAGGGCCCAACAAGAAGGTCCTCCCCAGATGTGGGCACCTTGGTCTTGGGCTTTTCAACCTCCAAAACTGTGAGAAACAAATTTCTTTTTTAAAATAAATTACCCAGTCTTGAGTATTCTGTTGTAGCTGTTATTTATTTATGTTCATTTCTAGTAGTATTCTATCATACGAAAATACCATAATTTATTTATACTTTCTTGAATAGATACACATTTATCTTTTTTTTTTTTTCAGTTTTTTGTCATTGTAAACAACGTTGCTCTGGACATTCTTGTACTTGTCTTCTGGAGCATGTGTGCACGAGTTTCTTTCTAAGACAGCAGCTCTCAAGTTTTTTGTGTATTAGAGTCACCTAGATACCATCTTTGTTTATTTATTTATTTATTTTTAGTCGGAGTCTCATTCTGTTGCCCAGGCTGGACTGCAGTGGCACACTCACGGCCACCTGGGTAACTGGAACCACAGGTGCATGCTACCATGCCCAGCTAATTTTTTGATTTACTGTAGAGACAAGGTCTCACAAAGTTGCCCAGGCTGGTCTCAAAACCCTGGACTCAGACATTCCTCTCACCTCTGCCTCCCAACGTGCTGGGATTATAGGCTTGAGCCACCACACCTGGCCTAGACAGCATCTTAAAAACAGATTGCAGGGCCCACTTCCCTAGCTTCTAATTCAGTAGGTCTGTGGTGAGACCTGCTCACTCCATTTATAGTAAGTTCCCAAGGGTTGCTTATGCTACTGTTCAAGCTACAACACTTTGGGATATATGTCCAAGAGTGGAATTGCTAGGTTGTAGCTTAAGTCAGCTTTGACTTTACTGGATCATGCCAAAATATTTTCTAAAACAGTGATTGTACAATATTCACTTCCAACAGCAGTATATAAAATTTCCTATTATAATCTATTTTCAGTAATATTTCATAGTTTTAAAATTATTTTTCCCAAGCCGTGCTCGGTGACTCAGCCAGTAATCTCGCGCCTTTGGGAGGTTGAGGTGAGTGGATTGCCTGAGCCCGTGGGTTCAAGACCCGCCTGGGCAGCGAGACCTCATCTCTACAATAAATCAAAAAATCAGCCGGGCATGGTAGCACATGCCTGTAATTCTGGCTACTTGGAAGGCTGAGGCGGAAGGATCGCCGGAGCCCAGCAGGTCGAGGCTGCGGTGGCCGGGAGCGGCCACTGCACTCCAGTCTGGGTGATAGAGTGAGACTCCAACTCAAAAAAGTAAAAAAATAAAATAATAAAATAAAATAAATTATTTTTCCCAATATGGTGGATCTAAAATGATATTCTATTGTGGTTTAATTTATATTCCCTTATTTTTAATGAGGTTGAGCTTTTTTTTCTCCAGTTTAAAAAAAATTAACAGACTTTATCGTTTAGAGCAGTTTTATGTTCACAGTAAAATCAAGTGGAAAGTACAGAGTTCCCACAATCCCCCTCACCACAACACACACACACACAGCCTCTCTCAACATCAACATCCTGCATCAGTGTAACATTTGTTACAACTAATGAGCCAACACTGACACATCATTACCCACCAATGTCCATCATTTACATTAGGGTTCACTCTTGGTGCTGCACATTCTGTGGGTTTTGGCAAATGTGTGACATACATCCACCATTATAAGATCATATGGAATAGTTTCACTGCCTTAAAAATCTCCTGTACCTCAAATTATTCATCCTTCCATCTCCACCCCCCTGGGACCTTTGGAAGCCACTGCTCTTTTTACTGCCTCCACAGTTTTGCCTTTTCCAGAAGGTATGAACAAGGTTCTCCAGAGAAACCAAGCCAATAGGATGGGGGGGGGGTGGGCAGGGAGAAGGAGAGAGGAAGAGAGAAAAAGAGAGATTTATTTATTTCAAGGAATTGACTCATACGATTGTGTTGGCTGGCAAGTCCAAAATCTGCAGCGTAGGATGGTAGGCTGGAGACTCACGGAGGAGTTCCACTTGAGTCTGAAGGCAGTGCTCTGGCAGAATTCCCTCTTCCACGTGGGAAGGTCAGTCTTTGGTCTATGAAGGCTTTCAACCGATTGGATGAGGTGCACCTTTATTTTGGAGGGTAATCTGCTTTATTCACAGTCTATTGATTTAAATTGCATCAAAAAAATAACTTCACAGAAACATCTAAAATAATGTTTGGCTAAATGTCTGGAAACTGTGGCCTAGCCACGTTGACACATAAAATTAATCATCACAGTCACATAGTTGAACCATACAGTATGGGACCTTTTCAGATTGGCTTCTTTCTTTTTTTTTTGAGTTGAAGTCTCACTCAGTCGCCCAGACTGGAGTGCAGTGGCCGCTCCTGGCCACCGCAGCCTCGCCTGCTGGGCTCCGGTGATCCTTCCGCCTCAGCCTTCCGAGTAGCCGAAATTACAGGCATGCGGTACCATGCTCGGCTGATTTTTTGATTTATTGTAGAGATGAAGTCTCGCTGCCGAGGCAGGTCTCAAAACTTTCACTGAGTAATGCCTGTAAGGTTTCTCTATGTCTTTTTGCAGTTCTTCAGCTGATTTTTTTTCACCACTGAGTAGTATTCCATTATATTGATGTATCATGGTTTATTTATTCATTCCCCTTAAGTTTCTTCTCATAGGCTTATCAACCATTGTTATTTCCTTTTCTGTGAAATGTTTTTTCATGTCTTTTGTTTATTTTTCTATTGTTCTATCTTTTTTCAAGCAGTTCTCTACATATTATGGATATCAGCCCTTTGACAATTATGTGTGTTAAAACTATCTTCCCCTAACACTTGGATTTTCATTTTCTTTATGCTATATTTTGGTAAAAGGAAGTGTTCAGTTTTACCAATATTTTCCTTTATGGTTTGTGTTTTTTTTTAACCTTAATAAATAATGGACTTCCTTTACTTTTCTTACTTTAAAACATGTCAATTTGCATTAAAATTTTAGACTATCACACTTTCTAATAAATGAATGAAGAATCTTTTCTTATGTTATTACTATATATAAAGGTGGTTTTAATTAAAGTAGCTAGTAAATCAGATTTTTAAATCCAAAAAGAAATATATGCAGTGTGACAATTAAGTTCATGAACTGATCCTAGAAAAAGTGCTACATACCTCATTGCTGAATATCACTACAGTCACCTTTGAAGTACTCCCCTTGGGAAGCTATACACTAATGCCAGTGCCTAGTTCACTTGTCAAAGCAATTTTGCAACTCTTTTTCTGGAATGACCATCACAGCTGTCATCATGACAACGTAATGAGCAGAACTGACTAAAACATTGCCAAAAAAAATTGTCAAATTGTGCATCAAAATCATTGACTGACTATGAGAGGCATAGCAGACCAAGTAGACATTGATAGAGAAACAGTTAAGAAAATCTAGCCAGGCTTGGTGGCTCAGCCTGTAATCCCATGCTTTGGGAGGCTGAGGTGAGTGAATTGCCTGAGTCTGTGGGTTCAAGACCTGCCTGGGCAACTTGGCGAGACCTCATCTCTACAATAAATCAAAAAATTAGCCGGGCGTGGTAGCGCGCTCCTGTAGTTCCAGTTACTTGGAAGGCTGAGGCAGAAGGATCCCCAGAGCCCAGTAGGTCGAGGCTGCAGTGGCCAGGAGCAGCCACTGCACTCCAGTCTGGGTGACAGAGTGAGAATCCAACTAAAAAAATGCTGGAGTCCCACTCCTGCAAGGGTCGGGGGTCTCTGGCGGTGTGACTGCGTAGGCAACTCACGAGAGAAAAGAAACTAAAGAGAAAGAAAGGGACTGGACTCCTGTTTAGAATTAAGCAGAAGCTGCTTTATTGAGTATATCCAAGGGCTTTTATCCCCAAGCTTTGCAAAGTCATCATCACAGGACACAAAAGGTAGCATGTGCCTTTCACACAAACAGGTCCAGGTGCACAAAGGACACCCCAAACTCTCAAGCAAATTTTTTTTCATATATAAGGAAGAACATGAGGAAGAGCAACCACAAATTGTCTTTTTGTTTCTTATGCTTGCTTAATGTTCCCCAAACCAGTTTCTTATGTGCCCTTAATTGTATTGCAACTACATCATCTTGAATTAACATCACTCAATGTCTAAACCCGAAACCACCATAATGAATTATTAACTTTTACTATTCTGTACTAATTCAAACTAGTTTCTATTAAAACAATTGCTGTTGTGGTTACACTCTCCTAGCACAGCTGGCCTAATTCAAACTTCACTGACCCTCCCCCAAATCAAAGTGAACTAACCACACTTCTATAATACAGTGGTTGCTTAAATTTTCTTTAATCTATATAAACTATTTTCTAAAACCTATATCTATAAATTTCTAAAGTTACATCAAAAGAACCTGTGACTTGTATTAAGGCTTTTAGATGTGACCCAAGTTTAAACTGTAAGTTGTACTAAAGCCAAAACTGTAATCAGTAGGAAAAAGGGAAACAATGAGTTTCTAAAGTTAGCTGTGTTCCTCTGGGTCTCAGGGTTTTATGCTTGAGCTAGCAGGAGTTTTTTCTGGCTATAGTGCTTAAGCAAGAAAAGGGAGAGGAAATGGGGTCAACAGCTCCCGAACGCATCCTAGTAGTCTCGGGGTCCACGGCCCTCCCTGATCCCTAACGCTCAGTGGGCCTCCGTGGCCGGCTCCCAACAACAACAACAAAAAAGAAAATCTTAACTGAAAATCTTGGCGTGAGAAAGGTGTGTGTGAAAATGGTGCTGAAGGAGCTCTTACATCATGATAATGCACCAGCTCACACAGAACTGTCTGTGAGGGAGTTTTCAACCAGTAAACAGATAATTGCATTGGAACACCCTCCCTACTCACCTGATCTGGCCCCCAATGACTTTTTCTTTTCCCAAAGATAAAGCAAATATTATACGGAAGACATTTTGATGACATTCAGAACATCTAGGGTAATACAATGACAACTCTGATGACCATTCCAGAAAAAGAGTTCCTAATTACTTTGAACTAGGAACCAGCATCAGTGCATAATTTCCTAAGGGGTGTACTTCAAAGGTGACCATAGTGATATTCAGCAATGAGGTATGGAGCACTTTTTTAAGGATGAGTTTGCGACCTTAATTGTCAGACTTAATATACCTATGCTCCTGCTTGCTACCAAGAAGGAACAAAACAGATACAGAGTAGACTATTCTTATAACTAAATATGGCATTCAAGAACACACACACACGTACACACGATCCACTGAAAACTGATCTAATTCCATTTACTTCCTTTATGAAACCCTCAAACACCTCAGCATTGATCAAAACAATAAAAGCCATCTATCACAAACCTGCAGCCAACACTGTGCTTGATGGGCAGGGGCTGGAAAAATTCCCCCTAAGAACTGGAAAAAGATAAGGATGGCTACTCTCACCCCTCCTTTTAAACATAGTACTGGAATTCCTATCCAGAGCAATCAGGCAGGAGAAGGAAATCAGGAGTATTCAAACAGAACAGGAGGAAGTTAAGTTATCCTTCTTTGTGGATGATATGATTCTTTACCTAGAAAACTCTGGAGAATCTGTCAAAAATATCCTTGCCCTGATAAATGACTTTGGTGAAGTCTTGGAATACGAAATCAATGCGCAAAATACAGGTGCATTTCTATACACCAACAACAAGCAGGCTGAGAACCAAATAAAAAACACAGTTTCATTCACAATTGATACACACACAAAATTGAAATACCTTGGCATCCACCTAACCAAAGAAAGGAAAGACCTTTACAATGTAAACTACAAAATATTGTTCAAAGAAATCAAGGATGATACCAATAAATGGAAAAGCATTCCATGTTCATGGATTGGAAGAATCAATATTATCAAGGTGTCCATTCTACCCAGGGAAACCTACAGATTCGATGCAACACTTATCAAATTGCCAACATCATTTTTCACAGACCTAGAAAAGGTAATACAGAAATTCATATGGAAACAAAAAAGCACAAATAGTTAAAGCAATCCTCAGCAAAAAGGAACAAAGGTGGAGGCATTACACTCCAGACTTTAAGGTTTATTACAAGGCCTCCTTAACCAAGACAGTGTGGTATTGTTACAGGAATAGACACATCAACCGATGAAGCAGGTCAGAGAATCTAGAAATAAAGCCACAGTCCCTCAACCAACTTGTCTTTGACAAAGCCGTCAATAACAGACACTTGGGAAAGGAAACCATATTTGGCAAATGGTGCTGGGAAAACTGGGTAGCCACATGTAGAAGAATGAAACTGGACCCCTCCCTATCATCATATACAAAATTAGCCTAAAATGAATCAAGGATTTAAATGTAAAACCTCTGACTAAAAGAATTTTAGAAGAAAACTTAGGGAACACCCTCCCGGACATTGGCAATGAATTCATGGCCCAGTACTCAAACACAAATGCAACAAAAGCTAAGATTGACAGGTGGGAATTTATCCAACTGAAAAGTTTTTTGCATGGCAAAAGAAACCATCAAGAGAGTACAACCCACGGAAAGGGAAAAAGTATGTACAAGCTATGCATCTGACAAAGGCCTAACATCCAGGACCTATAGGGAGCTCAAATGAATTGAAAGGAAACAAACAAACAAACAACCCTGTCAAAAAGTGGGCAAAGGACATGAACAGGCACTTCTCAAAGAAAGACATACAAGCAGCCAACAAACACATGAAAAAATGCTTAGCCTCACTAATCATCAGAAAAATGCAAATCAAAACTACAATGAGATACCACTTAATGCTGATAAAGATGGCTATCATTAATTAATAAAAAACAATAGGTTTTTGCTTCCACACTGTTGGTGGGAATGTAAACTAGTTCAACCTTTGTGGAAAGCACTGTAGCAATTTCTCAAAGAACTAAAAATTGAGCTTCCATGTGATCCAGCAGTCCCTCTTCTGGAGGGACGTAAATCACTCTATAAAAAAAGACACCAGTGCATGCAAAAACGTGGAACCAACCCAGTTCCCTGTCGAAAGTGGACTGGATAAAGAAATGTGGTACATATACATGATGGAATATTACGCAGTCATAAAGAACAAAATTATGGCCTTCGTAGCAACATGGATGCAGCTAGAGACCATACTAAGTGAAGTGTTGCAGAAATAACTGATTTCCAGATGTTCTCACTCATAAGCGGACTCTGATCATTGGTCACACAAGCACAAGGGTGGGATTGGCATATGCTGGACACTCCTAGGGGAGGGAGGGAGAGAGGAAGGGAACATCTGGCAAAAACCGGGTACCTGGTCCACTATCAGGGGAAGAGAGGGCTGGCTAGAAGCCCACATATTACCTACATACAACTTTCTTACATAGCAAATCCTCACGTGTACCCCGAAACTTAATCTCAGCACTTTGGGAGGCCGAGGTGAGAGGATTGCCTGAACCTGGGGGTTCAAGACCAGCCTGGGCAACTTGGTGAGACCTCATCTCTACAATAAATCACAAAAACTAGCCAGGCATGGTGGCATGTGTCTGTAGTTCCAGCTACTTGGACAGCTGAGGCGGAAGGATTGTCTAAGTCCAGCAGGTCGAGGCTGCAGTGGCCATGAGCGTGCCGTTGCACTCTAGCCTGGGTAGCAAAAGTGACACTCCAACTCAAAAAAAAAAGGAACACACACACACACACAGAACCCACTGAAAACTGATCTAATTCTACCCACTTCCTTTAATATTGCTGTGCTTTACTGCTGGGTACAAATTTCCTTCATGAACAAGTGTCTGTAGCTATTAAATATCTAAACAGTTTTCAAATAATATGACTATTTTTAGCTTAAGAGGTGGGAAAATTGGCTTCTTTCATACAGGTAGGGGAGAATTGTCCTATGGATTAGCCATCATTTTAAGTAATTTTTAAAAATTAACTTTATATCATTTGCTATGAATATTTTGTATTATTTTATAGTCCATGTGATATATGATTTGTATGCTTTGTCCAATGCCTATGTTAAAGCATATTTCCCACCAGCAAAGGCTAAGGGAACTCAGAATAACTAACATAATTACGTGTGTATATATGATGATATTTTGTAGGTTGTATAAACATCCACATCCCAGCCACCACTTCTCTAAATGAAAACTTCCAGGTCCTAACCAGAATTTTCAAGGAAAGGGACACCCACTTTCTGCCATTATTTCAACTTGGGGCTAGGGAGAACTGTAATGGACCAGAACACCTTGGAATTTTGTTACCTTAGATACTGTGGATATTTCTGCTATTAGCAGAAACCAAGTTGATTCTAGCTTCAACACAGGCTCAGCTGAATATTCTTAGTCCTTAGATAGAGTTCCTAAAAGATGTCCTTGTTCTTTGGCTGCCTGTCTGGATCTTGTCTGTCTGATTTTGCCTGGTTCTCTGATGTGTTTTCTTGACATTTTTATATGTGAAGGAGAGTATTGACTTAAAGAGAAATCGATTATATTGTAAGAAAAAAAGTCAAATAATTAGTATAGAAAATGTATTCACTGAAATTTGTAAAGGTAAAATATGTGGCAATGTGCGTTTGAAAATATTTGGGATACTAATTTAGAGTTAGAAGATATATACTATATTAAATAAGTTGATTTAGGAAAGCATAACACAGTCAATGTTGTTGTAAGTGAACCACAACAATGAAAAGGCTGTTGCAATTACAACAGTGAGATAAGCCAAGAATACATTTGGAGTGCAACCCAGTGGATCAGAGTGTTCAGATAAGGCAAAGTCATCTACCACTTTCATTGCCTCTGATAAAAGCTCCCCACTCCTCTCTTCTCATGACATTCTGGGGAATAAAACCACACACAAATGGAGTAAGTGGTAGAAATAAATGTGTAATAAATAATAATTAGCCCCATAAGCCCCCCCTTGGAGTAGGAATTATTGTGAAACGTGAGGAACATTTGAATAGAATACGAAATTCAAGGTGACGCAGAGGAACCTAAGTGAAGTGCGGTATATACTAACTTAACAAGCTAGAAATATCTTGAGGATGGTAAGTAGTCTTTCTCCTGTTGGCATGGCATTGTAAATATACCTTGGCTCCCCTGCCTTTCCTTAGGCCTTGGGGGCATGGAAGGAAACCCTTGAGGGCAAAGTAGAGGAATCAGCTTGTCATCATTGGAAGTATAAAGAGCCTTCCACTTAAAAGTATTCTCTGATCCCAACTAGCATTCTTCTATGGTCACTGCCTGTAGGTTCAGAAAGATAGAAACCATTAGAGATCCTTTGGAAGAGTAGTTGTCAGCCGGGCTCGGTGGCTCAGCCTGTAATCCCGCGCCTTAGGAGGTTGAGGTGAGTGGATTGCCTGAGCCCACGGGTTCGAGACCCGCCTAGGCAACTTGGCAAGACCTCATCCCTACAATAAATCAAAAAATCAGCCGGGGACGGTAGCGCATGCCTGTAATTCCGGCTACTCGGAAGGCTGAGGCAGAAGGATCGCCGGAGCCCAGCAGGTCGAGGCTGCGGTGGCTGGGAGCGGCCACTGCACTCCAATCTGGGCGACAGAGTGAGACTCCAACTCAAAAAGAAAAGAAAAGAAATAGTAGTTGTCGCTTCCTTAAGCAACAAGCTTCCACACATAATTTCAGTGGCAGGTGCAGAGCGAAAAGACCTGGTCTTTCGAATGTCAGAACTGGATCCAGCCAGGTGTGATGGCACGCACCTGTAGTCCTAGCTACTCGGGAGGCTGAGGCAGGAAAATCGCTTGAGCCCAAGAATTCAAGACCAGCCTGGGCAACATAATGAGACTCTGTCTCTAAAAAAGTAAATATAATAATAATTCATTTTTTAAAAAGAAGAACCAAGTTCAGATCAGACCTGTCACTTGCTGGTGGCATTACCTTGGGCAAATTATTTAACATCTCTGAGCTTCGAGTTTCTTCATGCCAAGTAACCTACTGTGCAGGATATGACTTTTATCTGTTGAATGTTTGATGGAGACTCCGTGCACAAGATCAAGCCGCGAGTGGAAATTCATTGATATACACTAGCCTTTCAGCTACCTCCAAAGCGTACCTAGTCAAGAAAGCCATCCGCAGACAGCTTGCAAAATGAAATGCACACCATTAACCCAGTTTTCTGGTTAGAGAAGACAAATATGGGAACGAGAATAAGCTCTGTGGTTAAACTGTCATATCCATTAGCTGAGAGCCAAAAAGCATTTGAACCATATGTATCAACTCGCAGAAACTAGCAGAATTTAAGATAGTTGAAACATTGGCACAGTACCCCAGATAGTTTGCAATGAATTGCTTTAGTGAAAGCCTTTCTGCTTGACATTTAAACATTTCTATTTTCCATCTTAAGAGAGAGACAAGATAGATTACAAGGCACACGCCAACTCTAACACAAGATAGCAGCCAGGCTTCAAAGCATATAGCTTCTTCGTAGTTTACTCTTGATAAAAGAAAGCAACACAGGTAATTGTATAGTTCTTTATGACTAATGCTCTTAGGAAATAAACAGATTTTGAGAAAAATTAAGCACTTAAAAGTATGTTTTTCTTATTTGCAGCTCACCGAAACATGATTATAGCTTCTCAAGCTTATCTACAGTAGAAGATAATATATATATCAACATTTTTGATGAAATGACGATTGAAAGCCATGAGGTGAAGGAGGATGATTACACTAACCAATGCTAAATTGATTCTGAGAAGGTCAAAGTGAATGAAGTCTAATAACATATTTGTAAATTTGTTTTTTAAATTATTATTATTTTTTTTTTTTTTTGAGTTGGAGTCTCACTCTGTCACCCAGACTGGAGTGCAGTGGCCGCTCCCGGCCACCGCAGCCTCGACCTGTTGGGCTCCGGCAATCCTTCCACATCAGCCTTCCGAGTAGCTGGAATTACAGGCACACACTACCACGCCCGGCTGATTTTTTGATTTATTGTAGAGATGAGGTTTTGCTACCCAAGCGGATCTCGAACCCGCGGGCTCAGGCAATCCACTCACCTCAGCCTCCCAAAGGCGCAGGATTACAGGCTGAGCCACCGAGCCCGGCTTTTTAAATTATTTTTATTTATACGACTATTTTGAAGATATTAACAATATTTAAGGAACTCTTTTGCAATTACTTTCCAACGCCATGATGCATTCTTTTAATCATGATGGACTTTTTAAAGTATACAATTTTTGTCACAGGATGTCAGAAATAGGAACAGCAAAGGAAAAATAGAAATAAAGAAGATCAAGCTGGCTAACATCATTTCTGAACACAAATGAGTTTGTTTTTTACTTTATTTTATGATAAAGATATGAGGTACAAGTCAGGGTTAGGGACACAAGTCATCTATGGGTAATCTACAGGCAGGTGAAGTTTGGGCCTCCAACTGGTCCTCACTTCCCTTGGTTTAGGACCAGGTATCCTTTATGTTGTTATGTGGCCCCCCTTCCTTCCCTGGCAGTGTCCCGTGACTGCTAACCCTCCCTTGTGTTATCATGGTTAATATTCAGGTCCCACTTATGAGTGAGAACATGTGGTATTCAGTTCTTGGTTTCTGTGATGGATCGCCAAGTATGATTGTCTCCAACTCCATTCAACTTGGTGGCCCCCCTTCCTTCCCTGGCAGTGTCCCGTGACTGCTAACCCTCCCTTGTGTTATCATGGTTAATATTCAGGTCCCACTTATGAGTGAGAACATGTGGTATTCAGTTCTTGGTTTCTGTGATGGATCGCCAAGTATGATTGTCTCCAACTCCATTCAACTTGCTGAGAAGTCCATGATTTTGTCCTTTTTTATGGCTGCGTAATATTCTGTTGCTAGAATATTTTCTTTATCCAGTTTTCTTTATCACGTTTTCTTTATCCAGTCTGCTTTCGATGGGCAGTAGGGTTGGTTCCACGTTTTTGCTATTGTGAATTGTGCAGCAATAAACATGCGTGTGCAGGTATCTTTTTTGTAGAACGATTTGTGTTCCTCTGGGTGTATATTCCCAGAAGAGAGATTTCTGGATCGTATGGAAGGTCAATTTCTAGTTTCTTTAGAAATCGCCACACTATTTTCCATAGTGGTTGAACTAGTTTGCACATCCACTGATAGTATAGAAGCAACTGGCAAGCTTTTGCACAGCAAAAGAAACCACCAAGACAACAGGGAGAAAACCCACAGAATGGGAGAAAAGATTTACTAATTGTGTATCTGACAAAAGCCTGACATTCAGGATCTATAAGAAACTCTAATGAGCCAAAAGGAAAAAACAAACGGCCCTATTAAAAAATGGGCAGAGGACATGAATAGACACTTCGTAAAAGAAGATATACAAGCAGCCAACAGATACATGAAAAGATACCCAGCCTCCCTAATCATCAGAGAAGTGCAAATCAAAACCACACTGAGATATCACCCAACTCCAGTAAGGATGACCATCAATAATAAACGTAAATATGTTTTTAGATGCGATATCTACATCCAACATTTTCTTAAAAGGATTTGAGGCAACTTGCAATAAAATCAGACATATCACAAGCCAGTTAAAAAAATAGTAAAGACCATAAACACATAGAGAGGGAAGAGGAACAAACACTCTGAGAACTTGGGAGAAATTTCCTGCAACTGAACATTATATTTAAATGTGAGCTTCCTAAAACCAAGACAGTAAGATAAACAAAAATAGATGACATACTTCTCATTTTCTGAGGAAAGAAAATACAACACTTCTACAAAAGAGACCAAATTATTCCTAGGACTAAAATTGAGTTCTATTTAATCTAATTTATAAGATTACTGAATGTCTTCCTTATAGATATGTGGAAATATCTAACACAATGCCTAGCATCACAGCAAGCTATGAAATAAATGTTAGTTTCCTCCCTACTAAGTCTGGCACTAAATATATAAAGATACATATCCACTGTACCTACTCTTTTAGGGTAGGCAAATTAAATGCTTTAATATAAATGTTCACCAAATTCTGGTTGGGCATGGTGGCTCATGCCTATAATCCCAGCCCTTTGGGAGGCTAAATTGGCAGGATTACTTGAAGCCAGGAGCTCAAGACCAGTGTGGGCAACATAGCAAGACCCTATATCTAAAAATTTTCCTTAAATACGAGCTGGGTATGGTGACATCTGCCTGTAATCCCAGAGACTGAGGCAGGAGGATCACTGAAGCCCAGGAGTTTGAGAAGTTTGAGTTTGCAGTGAGCTGTGAGTGTGCCACTATACTCTAGTTTGGGTCACAGAGAGACATCCTGTCTCTAAAAACATTTACCAAATTTCATGGCAATGTTATTGAAGGAGAAATTAATTTTACCCAGAGGAACTAGGGATCCAGGTGAGTAAAGGTAAACAAGACTTGAATGCCTCATGTTGGCATTTCCTTCCTTCCTTCTTTCCCTCCTTCTTTCTTTCTGGAGGTTAGAGATGGAATCTCACTCTGTAGCACAGGCTGGTCTGGAACTCCCAGGCTCAAGCAGTCCTCCCACCTCAGCCTCCCAGAGTGCTGAGATTACAAGTGTGAGCCAGCCATCGCACCCAGCCTATAATGACAATGTTTTCAAATCTGGATTTCCAGAACATATGACACACATTCTTTTTTTTTTCACATTCTTATTAAAACATTTTTAGTCAACTCTTGATAAAGGCTGAGGGTAAAATATTGGACAGTAATTTGGTGATGACTTTTTTGCAAGAAATTAAAGTGAGTGGTTTTCTTTTTGGTAGAGACAGGGTCTCTATGTTGCCCAGGCTGACCTCAAATTCCTGGGCTCAAGGGATCCTCCCACCTCTACTTCCCAAGGGGAAAGAATTCCAGGTGTGAGCCACCTGTGGACATAAGCAGTTTTCTGATTATCTAAACTGATATAATGGGTAGAGCTTAGAAAAATCTGCCTAACAGATTTTCTCCCTCAAAAGTGAATTATCTCAATGAGTAATTTGACCAGAATTGAACAGCAGTTGATTAACAGTTGAACTCTTGCAAGTGCTTGGTGTTGATATTCAAATGAAACCATATGCTTCGGTGTCAGACTTATTAGTGACCATACTGGCATGCTATTTAGAAAAGCAAAGGCCTTGCATTCTTTTTTTTTGAGTTGGAGTCACTCCGTCGCCCAGGCTGGAGGGCAGTGGCACGCTCATGGCCACCCCAGTGTCTACCTGCTGGGCTCAGACGATTCTTCTGCCTCAGCCTTCCAAGTAGTTGGAGCTATAGGTGCACACTACCGCCCCTGCCTTGGCTCCCCAAAGTGCTGGAATTACAGGCTTGAGCCACCACAAGCCTTTTTTTTTTTTGAGTCAGGGTCTTACTCTGTCTCCCAGGCTGGAATGTTGTGGCACAGTTACAACTCACCACATGTGGCCTCAATCTCCTGAGCTCAGATGATCCTTCCGCCTCAGCCTCTCAAGTAGCTGGGACTAGAGGCACATGCCACCATGCCCAACTTTTTTTTTTTTTAAGAAATGAGGTCCAACTATGTTGCATAGGCTGGTCTCCAGCTCCTGGGCTCAAGTGATCTCCCACCTTGGCCTCCTGAAGTGCTGGGATTACAGGTGTGAGCCACCGTGCCTGGTGTAAAATTTGCCTATTTTTAAAAATTTTATTTGTATTTTGAGACAGGATCTCACTCTGTTGCCAGGCTGGAGTACAGTGATATGATCCTAGCTCGTGGCAGCCTTGACCTCCTGGGCTCAAGTGATCCTCTCATCTCAGCCTCCTGAGTAGTTGGGACTACAGGCATGCACTACAATACCTGGTTCATTTTTTGACTTTTTGTAGAGATAGGGTCTTGCTATGTTGCCCAGGCTGGTCTTGAACTCCTGGCTCAAGTGATTCTACCTCCTCAGCCTCCCAAAGTGCTGAGATTACAGTTGTGAGCCACCGTGCCCAGCCAACGTGCCTATTTTTAAAAGAAGCAAGTATTGAATTGTTTTTACACTTTACTCTTTTTGTGTTTTCTAATTCATTTATTTCTGCTTGTATTTTTATCATTTTATTCTTCTCAATGTTCTTAGGACTGTGATTTTTGGACTTATTCTGGCCAAAAGTGTTGAATGCATAGTTTGTTTTCTCTTTCACTGTGTCATAAATAGTGGAAACATTCTAAGATTATGACTTTATTTCTAAAAATTCCTAGGTGTATCTTTTATATTTGGTTGTCTATTTTTTATTTTTTGTTATAATTATTTATTTATTACCTTTTCTTCCTTGACCTAATAGTTTTTAATATTATCTTTTTACATTTTCAAATGTTTGAGAGGCTTTAGTGTGAACTTTTGGTTTTAAATTCCAGTTTGATTACATTCTGGACCTTGGGTTCACAGCTCATTTCTTTAAGCCACTGGTTCCAACTTTGCAGTTGCCAATTAACCTACAAAGGTGTAAATCCCAATGACAAGATAAGGAACCTTTGCAAAGAAGTCACATAACTGGACAAAGATGAAGGAGTAATTTGATTTACAAGGGATTAGAGAAAGTAAATACACAAATACCTCAGTTTTATTTATATGGTTCATTTAAAGGGATGGTCCAATTATAGCAGCCTCATTCCAACCAATTAACCATCAACGTGCCCGGCCCTAGTTCAGCTTATTCCAAATATGTTGCAGATTTAGCACATACACATCATAACTCAGGAATATCAAGTCGTTTTTATCACTTGATGTAAACAGTTCCCATGTTGATAGATTCCTTAAAAGGTTGCTTCATAGATAATTCATATTGATGGCCTTAAAAATAAAATTACTTCTTTGCTTCTCAGAGAGGATGCATAGAGAACCAATCTTTTATTCTTTTCCTTTTTTTTTTTTTTTTGAGTTGGAGTCTCACTCTTTCACCCAGGTTGGAGCGCAGTGGTACAGTCATGGCCACTGTAGTCTTACATTTGCTGGAACTATTGGCTTGCGCCACCACACCCAGCTAATTTTGTGTTTATTTATTGTCGAGACAAGATCTCACCAAGTTACCCAGGCTGGTCTCAAACCCCTGGACTCAGGCAACCCTCTTGCCTCCGCCTCCCAAAGTACTGGGATGACAGGCGTGAGTCACACTGTACCCAACCTGAGAACCAATTTTAAAGCCGGGCTTGGTGATTCAGCCTGTAATCCCAGCGCTTTGGGAGGTTGAGGTGAGCGTATTACCTGAGCCCGCGGGTTCGAGACCCGCCTGGGCAACTTGGCGAGACCTCATCTCTACAATAAATCAAAAAAATTAGCCGGGCGTGGTAGCGTGCACCTGTAGTTCCAGCTACTTGGAAGGCTGAGGCGGAAGGCTCGCTGGAGCCCAGCAGGTCGAGGCTGCGGTGGCCGGGAGCAGCCACTTCACTCCAGTCTGGGTGACAGTGAGACTTCAACTGAAAAAAAAAAAAAAAAAGTGAACCCTAGTAAAGGTATAATCTATAACCTGATACAAGGCGGGACCCAGGAAGCCTGCCAACACCCCTGGGTCCTGGAATGGAAAGGTTAATGCAGTTGAGATCACTTGAGTCAGAAGTCCAAGGTCTTAATTGCTACAAAGCTACCTCAAGGTGCCTGTTCCCTTTAGAGTAGAACAACACGGTCACCTTGCTCAGCTCCATTGTTGCTGGTCAGTCTCTGGGTTTAAACAACCCTTATAGCATTTGTTCCCTTGTAAGCAGAAGGGGTAACTTCTCAAGTACAAAAAGTCAGAAAGCCTCCTGATGTCCAAGGTAGTGGTCATAAACTAAAGGCAGGAATCAGGATTTTTGATAACTTTTTTCCGACTTCAGCTATTTGGATCCACCTTCCCAGATTTCCTCAACATCTGGTCTTTGGTTGGTGAATGAAAAATGTAGATAACTAAGAGTAGAGGCGCTGCCAATTTGAGGGCACTGCCACAGGGCACTGCCAGTTTGAGGGGTGGCAGTGGTAGTAACCACCAAACCCTTTTATGCCTAATCCCTGCTTCTCCTCACCGCAGACCCTATTTTGAATTTTAAAAATTGTATTATTGAGGGATAATTAGCAGACAATAATCTGCACATATTTAAAGCGTATAATTCGACAAGTTGTTTGTTTTTTGAGTTGGGATCGCCTCTGTCACCCAGGCTGGAGTGCAGTGGCACAATCCCGGGCTCACTGCAGCCTCAACCTTCTGGCCTCAAGCAATCCTTCCGCCTCAGCCTCCCGAGTAGCTGGGACTACAGGCGTGCACCATCACACCCGGATCATTTTTGTATTTTTGTTTTAGAGACGAGGTCTTGCTGTGTTGCCCAGGCTGGTCTTGGATCTGGGCTCACACGATCCTCCTGCCTCGGCCTCCCAAAGTGCTGGGATTACAGGCATGAGCCGCTGTGCCTGGCCTAATTTGACAATTTGACATATGTACTGTATACACCTATGACACCATCATCACAATAAACATAATGAACATATCCAGTGCCTTCAAAGCTTTTCTCTGTTCTGTCGACATATCTCCCTCCCCCAGACAACCGCAGATTTGCCTCCGTCACTAGTGTCTGGACTTTCTAGACTTTTATAGAAATGGAATTATACAATATATACTCTTTTTTGGTCTTGCTTCTTTTACTCAGAAAAATTACTCTGCGATTCATCCGTGTTGTGGTGTTTATCAAATAGTTCATTCCTTATTATTTTATGGTAGTATTCCAAGTTTTGACATACGTATTCACCATTGATGGACATTTACTTTGTTTTCCTTTTTGGACTTTTATAACTAAAGTTGCTATGAACATTTGTGTACAAGTCTCTCGATAGATAAATGCTTTCATTTCTCTTAGTAAACACCTGGGGTGAAATGGCTGGATATTGTGGTAAATTGATATTGAAGAAACTGCTAAACTGTTTTCCAAAGTGATTGTACCACTTTTTATTTCCAGTAACGTAGGAGATTTCTAGTTCTTTCACATGCTTACAGACACTTTGTAAGGTTTTCTAATTTTAACCACTCTGATAGGTGTGTGGTGGATTCTCATTCTAGTTTTAACTTGCATTTCCTAATGACTACTGATATTGAGCACCTTTCCATGCATTTATTTGCCATCTATTAATAGATACCTTCTTTGGTGAAGTATCTGTTCAAGTCTTTTGTCTATTTTTAAAATTGGGCTACTTGTTTCCTTATTATTGAGCTTGGAGAGTTTTTGTATATTTTGTATACCAGTCCTTTATCAGATACATGATTTGCAAATATTTTCTCTCAATATGTAGCCTATCTTTTTATCTTTATCTTGTTTTCTTAACACTGTCTTTTGAAGAGCAAAGTTTTTAAGTTTTTTTCTCTTTCTCTCTTTCTTTCTTTTTTTTTTTTTTTTTTAGGCAGGACCTCACTCTGTCATCCAGACTAGAGTACAGTAGCATGATTCCACAGCCTTGACTTTCTGGGCTCAGGCAATCCTTCTACCTCAGTCTCCTGAGTAGCTAGGACTACAGGCACACGTCACCACACCCAGCTACTTTTTTTATTTTTTGTAGAGACAAGATCTTCCTATGTTGCCTAGGCTGGTCTTGTACTTCTGGGTTCAAGCAATCCTCCTGCCTCAATCTCCCAAAGTGCTGAAATTACAGATATGAACCACTGCTCCCAGCCAAGGTTTTTAATTTTGATGAAGTTAAATTTATCAACCTGCTTTTGGTGTCATAGTTTTCAGCTCTATTTTTGCTTTTTAGATTTTACAACTCTGTTATTAGGGTCATACATGTCTAAGCATATACTTCTTTTTGATGAATTGATTCCTTTATCATTATAAGATTTTCTTCTTTATTACTGGTATATTTCTTGTTTTTAAATCTACCTTGTCTGTTTTAAATATAATCACCACTCAGCTTTATTTTAATTAATGTTTGCATTATACGTCTTTTACTTTCTTTTTACTTTTTAAAAATCCATGTCCTTATATTTAAAATGGGTGTGCTATAAACAGCATATTGATTTTTTTATCCATGCTGACAAGCTGGGCCTGTTTAGGTTTGGCCATTTGCGCTTTATAACATTATTGACCTGGCTGGGTATCCTCTCCTGGTTTGTCTGCTGCTTGTCCCAACTGCCCTTTATTCCTTTTTCCTCTTTTCCTGACTTCTTTTGGATTGATAGAATACTTCTATGATTTTATTACTTTCTCTCTATTAGTGAGTTATTAGCTATCCTTCTTTGTTCCCTTCATTGTTGCTCTAGGGATTGCAATATATCTTTTAGCTTCCACAGACGACCTTCATATAACAGAGCATCACTCCCTGTGGAGTGCAAAAACCAGACACCCCAATTTCTCCATCCCCACCCCATGCGTTCTGCCCGCATTGCCATACATTGTCCTTGTATGTATGTCATAAATGCCACAGCAGGTTATTTTTGCTTTAAATAGTCGATTTTTTCTTTTTCTACTTTTGAAGGAAAAATAGTCAATTGTCTCTTAAGGAAATTGAAGAGCAAGAAAAACTATCTTTTCTTTTTACCTTTGGGTCTCTTTTTACAAAGAGAGAGAATGATTTTTTTTATACTTACCTGTAAGTGTGTGAAAAGATACCTGTAAGTGTGTGAAAAGACGAATCACATAATATTAAATGAGTAATAAAAATTATTTATTTGAACAGGATCACTGTCTCAAGAGCTGTGATGGTCACTTGTATATAAAAAAGAATTGGCTTGGATCCATCATCTTCCCTTTTTCCACTCTTCTGCAACAATCTGAGGTAAAATAGTTCTTTGCTAATTATTCTAAGTTTTGAACTTTGACTAATAGAAACACTTCCTGTTGTCTTTGAATTAAATTCTGTAATTCACAGGTTGGTAGGTCAGTTTGAATGTATTAGAGTGTTCTGGATTTGGGGTTTATTTGAAGGTTTTGGCTGTTTCTAGAACACGGGACGCCCACACATTTATTTTTCATATATTTAGAGTGAGTTATGCATGGTGGCTCACACCTGTAATCCCAGCACTTTGGTAGGCCAAGGTGGGAGGATTGCCTGAGCCCAGGTAGTCAAGGTTGCAGGGAGCCATGATCATGCCACTCTGGGCTACAGAGTGAGACCCCGACTCAAAAAAAAAAAAAAAAAGGTCAGGCACAATGGCACATACCTATAATCCCAGCACTTTGGGAGGCCGAGGTAAGAGATTGCCTGAGCCCCACAGGTCTGAGGCCAGCCTGGGCAACTTAGTGAGACCTCATCTCTACAAACAATCAAAAAATTAGTCAGGTGTGGTGGCACATGCCTGGAAGGCTGAGGCAGAAGGATCGCCTAAGCCCATCAGGTGGAGGCTGCGGTGGCCATGAGCATGCCAACTGTACTCCAACCTGGGTGACAGAGTGAGTCTCCAACTCAAAAAAAAAAAAAAAAGACTGAGGAGGAGAATGGAAGGTCAGGGAAGATTTTACTAAGGAGACAGATAACTTTTGAATTAAATCCTTAAAGCAGCCATGTAACCAAACCCCATTTGTACCCCTAAAGCTATTGAAATAAAGATCATATCAAAAAGAAACAACAAGATGAACTTGTCAAGGAAGCAAGAGCTTTTAACTTGAGGAGGAATCACAGGCATTGGCTAAGGTGGCATTAGGCCATAAGCCACAGAAAACCTGGCCAACAGCAGCTGATGGAGGTCAAGGTCTCTTTATGTCACCTGAAAAGAAGTGCAACCCCCTTGTAGCAGCTCAAGGATATATCAGGAACCCAAGCTACCCTTGTCTTTCTCTTTCACTGTACGTATCATGTGGCCTTTGTCTTCATAATTGCAAAATGTTCACTGCAACTCCAGCCTCCTATTTATGCTCCAGCAGGAAGCAGGGAGAAACAAGAGGGGTCAGTGCCCATGTCAGACGACAGACAGCTTCCAGGAAACACCTCCAGTCTTCTGCTTGTATCGTGTTTGTGTGGCAGGGCCACTACCTAACTGTCATGTTACCAACTAAAACAGTGGGGGAAGAAAGGAGGAGAGAATGAACGTTAGGTAGGAGAGTCAGAGTGCCTGCATAACAGTGGCGGGTGTTGCGAAGTAAGACCAACAGGGATTTAAGTTGCTGGATGTACACAGCTTCCTACATTTGTAAATCCCACAGACATTTCTCAGTCTCAGGCTGGACTGTAGGATAGAGAGCTAGTTAAGAATGTGGACTTCAGCCAAGTACAGTGGTTCAAACCTGTAATCCAGCACTTTGGGAAGCTGAGGTGAGGGAATTGCCTGAGTCCACAGGTTCAAGACCAGCCGGGGCAACTTGGTGAGACCTCATCTCTACAATCAATCAAAAAATTAGTCGGGCGTGGTAGTGCGCACCTGGAGTTCCAGCTACTTGGAAGGCTGAGGTGGAAGGATCTCCTGAGCCCAGCAGGTCGATGCTAGGGTGGCCGTGAGCATGCCACTGCACTCCAGCCTGGGCAACAGAGTGAGACTCTGACTCAAAAAAAAAAAAAAAAAAAGAATGTGAGCTTCAAAGGTGGACAAATCTTGATTGTAATCCTGGCTCCACTACTCATCATTCTGTAATCTTGCACACAATGCTTCAGTCTCTTAACCCTCAGTTTCCTTGTCTATGAAATGGAACTAAGGACAGTATCTACTGCACTGAATGATACGATCTGTATCAAGCACTTGACACAGTGTCATGCACATAGTAAGTTGCTCGGTAGCTATTAGCTATTCTTACTGTAATTAACTTCTCTGCACACATACACAGGTCGAGACTGTAGACCTCAGGATCATCTTTCTTGCTGTTAAACTTTTTCTTTCTAGACTCAATGCAAAATATGACATGATCTTTTAGCTTCTTCTCTGAACCTGAATTAGATTATCTAAGAGCTTTTATGACTCTGGCACAGCAACTTGCATCCTTGTGTCATCTCTGTCCTCTCACATAGTCCATATTAGGCAGGGACCCAGTGTGTCAAGGATGCCTGTGAACAGATCACCACAGAGAGCCTGATCACTCTTGGGCAAGAATGTATGAGTAAAAGCTCATGTACCCACACGAGCCTGCTTTCTCCTATGGAGAAGACTCAGCTGACTGATGGGCAACTCCCCTAGATCCCCTCCTGCTGTGGGAGCTTTTCTGTCCTCTCAATAAATCCTGCTTTCTTACTAAAAAAAAAAAAAAAAATAGTTGACTGATGTTGATTTTCATTATGTATAATCTATTATATGGGCACACTCTTTCAGATTAGTGGAACATTTCAAGTAAATATTCCATCCGTTCTGCTTGGGTATACTTGGAGTAAGACGTCTTTGTCTCCTAAAGAAGATTACAATGGAAAGAATTTAAAAGAATGTACCTTCTTAAATATTTTTGCTACCATTGAACCTCAAATATCACATGTCACCTATAGTCCAATACTAGAGAAGGTAGGCTTTACATTGAACTTATTTCATATATATGCATATCAAAGAAGTATAAATCATTTTATACTTAATAATTTATTCTTCTTGAGAATGCACTATTTTTAAAGCCAATAATAATTTCAAAACAGGCCAAAAAAACCCCACTTTGATTCTTGATATTTTCCTGTGGGAACAATATAATTCAATACAGGAATGATTTAAATTTGATTCTAGTTTTCAGATCAAATAGATGTCTTGCAGCGAGCACAGATGTTTAAAAACAATTGCAAGGCAATGTTTCCCAACCGAAGAATCGTAACAACTGTTTTTAATGATGAAGGGATACAGTTCTTGGTAACAAGATATATTAAGGCCTTAAATCCACCTCAGCAACTTCTGGATCTATTTCTTCATGATTCCAACGCAACACTTGTAAGTTATCATTATTTTTAAAAGCTTCATTGTGATTAGACGGCATTTATGAAAAATCACTTTTACCTTTTATTTGAATTCAATCTAGCCAATTGTCTCTCCTCCAAATATTTATGGTATTTGTGAGTCATAAAGCTCCCTTAGCTGAACTCTTTAAGGTGAAATCAAAAGTTCTCATTTAGATTGACTTTTGCTACACTCTGCTTTTCCATCATGGGTTTCTTCCTGCCTGTGCGTCCTGACACTCAACACCCAAGAAGATAATAGTACTCTCAACTTTATTTCGAAGATGATCTTTATCTTTTAAAATATATATGCCAGCCGGGCTCGGTGGCTCAGCCTGTAATCCCGCGCCTTTGGGAGGCTGAGGTGAGTGGATTGCCTGAGCCCGCGGGTTCGAGACCCGCCTGGGCAGTGAAACCTCATCTCTACAATAAATCAAAAAATCAGCCAGGCGTGGTAGCGCATGCCTGTAATTCCGGCTACTCGGAAGGCTGAGTGGAAGGATCGCCGGAGCCCAGCAGGTCGAGGCTGCGGTGGCCGGGAGCGCCCACTGCACTCCAGTCTGGGCGACAGAGTGAAACTCCAACTCAAAAAAAAAAAAAAATAGCTTAGGCTGGGCGCAGTGGCCCACGCCTGCAATCCCAGCACTTTGGGAGGCCGAGGCAAGAGGATTGCCTGAGCTCACAGGTTCAAGACCAGCCTGGGCAACTTGGTGAGACCTCGCCTCTCCAATAAATCAAAAAATTAGCCAGGCGTGATGGCACATGCCTATAGTTCCAGCTACTTAGAAGGCTGAGGTGGAAGGATCGCCTGAGCCCAGCAGGTCGAGGCTGTGGTGGCCATGAGCGTACCACTGCACTCCAGCCTGGGCGACAGAGTGAGACTCCGACTCAAAACAATAAAAATAAAAATATATAAATACAAATATTTTAACAGTTATACTTTAAAGTACATGTTTAATGTGAACACATCATGTTACAATGTTTAAAAGTTTAATAATTTATTATAACAAAATATAATTGTTAGCATGTGCCCTCTGGAGTCAGGCCAACTTGGGCTCAGTTTCCCAGAGACACCATCTTTGTATCAGCCATGTAATCCTGGGCAAGGGATTGTAGTACTACAAGCTTGTTTCCTCTTCTGCAAAACTCCAAGAATAAGGGTCTACTTTATAGGTTTACAGTGTACACTAAATGAAATAATGCGTGTGAAGCATGTGCTCCGTGATGGGCTTATAGAACACACCCAATAAGTGTTAATGTTATTCTAGGTCCTCATAGCTCGATTTGTGTCTTTGATTCCTTTTGTGCCTGACATACTGGATGAAAATGAGGGTGTGAATGTATGGATGACATCAGAGGTAACAAACCACATTTTATAAGTAAAATGTACAGTATTTCTTGCTTTTCTTTTAAAAATGCCTTTTAACAAATGTTATTATTATGTAATATTTTGCCTTGTGAAATTTTAAAGTATTTAATAACTTTATACATCACCTTCAGCTCTATAATAATCTGTGGAAATAATCCATGAAGACCAAAGATCCTTCCAACACTCTAAGTGGTAACTCATGAATATTTTGATTCGATGGGAATTCCAGGAGTATGACAGCATGACATCCTCCAGCGAGCTACATGACTGGTCACTATGGAACTGGTCAGACCCGAAGTCTTGGGCACACACTGCCACTCCCCAGAAGCCTTCCCCAGTGTCCCCCATCTGAGTGAAGAGCTCGTATAGCAGGGTTCTTCCTTAGCACCGAGATTAAAGTTTCCCTAGCCAAACTGACAATTAAAATATAGAGCCCATGCAATATTTGGGACAAACTGATACAAAAAAAAATTGTTGTTTATTCAAAATTCAAATCTAACTGGGCAGCCTATAAGTTATTTTCTAAGGCTGGCAACCCTAATTAGAGCGCTTGATCCATCCCACCTTAAATTATATTTAGTTGCTGACATATTGGTCTCACACCTACACCCTGCACACATGCATTCCAATTGTAATCTCCTTGAAGGCAGAAGGAGACTTGGTTCTTATTTATTTTTATATTTGTCACTTGTACACTGATTTAAGTTTACCAGGCATTCAATAAACATTTTAAATTGGAAAGCACAAATATGACGGAGGGACGCATTCATCTGGAACCAGTAGCCCTGGCATTTATCTAGAATGCGTTAGGGACTGAGTCTGAGCTAGAATGGATTTATGGGGCACAGGAATAACTCAATAGGTCAGCTACCCTGCCTTTTGCTAAGTAGACCAAGGGAGACACAAGCATATGGTTTTGTTCCAAGATCCAGGGACTAAAATCTGGCCAACTTAGAAAGGTGTCATTCCGTCTAGACTGTCCTAAGACTCTTTGAACTCACAGAACATGTGCAGGGATATGGTGATCCTACAGAACACTGAAAGAGGACGAGCCAAAAATAATCATTCAAGTACTTCTGAGTTCCCCAAAACCAAACAATACACATTACTACGAGATCGTGAGGCTTGGGATTCCTCCTTCCCGTCCACAGAATGCCCATGAGTGTGTGACTGTCTAGATTTCACAAGATGAGTTATTTTTCCCCATCTTACAGTCTTTGGAGTCAAACAAAAGCCTGGGTTCCAATCGTACTTCAGTTACTTAATAGATGCGTGATCTAAGATAGGTTCTCCAACCTCTCGGGACCTCAGCTTCCTCCTCTATGTCATGCAGTGGTTTTGAAAGGACTAAATGTCCTTCAAAAGCATCAGGAACTCAGGGAAAAGTGAGTTACCTACACTCACCCGCTCCCTCCTCCTCTTAGAATATTTGATCTAACCTCTTTGGTCTGACACAGAAGACTAAGCTCATTCTGCCCTTAGGGCTCCTGTTCACACTTTTCTTCCTGAAGGGCCTCCTTACCATCCTCCCTAACCCCCATCCCTCCCCATCGCACTCAGCCAGTGCCCACTGATATGGCCATATCGGTCGTTAAAACACTGAAATGCTTCCATTCTGACTGGTAAATAGTCACTGCCAAGAGTTCCCTAGCTTCTGCCCCTTTCCCCCACCTCTAGGGCCACCGCAGCCCTTCTCTGGGTTCCTAATAAGTCAGAGAACAGATGTTCCTTTCCAATGGCTCACTGCTATTCAGCAGTAACAGATGGTTGCTGTGTAACATTTGGACCCATGTCCTGGCTGGAATTTTACTTTTTCAACAGAAACCAGAAGCCCAGAGTTTTATATGACATTCTCTACTCTTGTAGACCATTCTAGGGGCCAAATAAAACACACCTGTAGACTAGAGTAAGGTCACTGACCACCAGTCTGCGACTCCTGTCACCCTTTTCCTCTCCTGCTACAGGGCTGAGCTTTACAAGGCTGGTCTCGAACCCCTTTCACCTGTTATACCCATCCAGCTGTTCAGCTCTCTCATTGGGAGACATTTCCATCACGCTTCCTGACGGAGACCCAACTCTGAGCTCTGGCTTTCTGTACTCTGTTGGTACAGGACAGGATGGCGCTCCATAGCCCAAGGGATCACTTCCTCCAAAACACCACCTGACTCCCTACAGATAAGGTTCCTCAAAGTACCCATCCATAAGACCCTGCTTGCTCAGGGCAGCTGAATATTGGTCCTAAACAAAAAGGTCCCACTTTGGACATAAATTATCTGGTCAGTCTATACAATATCGACACGGAGTGCCCGTAAAAAAGGTAATCCCGGTGTCCCAGGTCAATGTTCTTTTCTAAAGTTACCTGGTAAGAATAAGCGTGTTTGGCACTACAGGGAGCAGAGGGGCTCTGAGTCTGTTGGAGGCTTGCATTGCTCAACCAGCCTTTTCTTTTTCTTCCCACGTGCTCGTTGCCTTTGCCTTAGCGCTGCATCGGTTTGGCTACCGGAAATAAGGAGGAGCATGCCATACTTCTCTGTAATTTCTTTCTGTATTTTGGAAAGAAGGCGTCGGTCCTCTTGGGAACCTCGGTGTTAGAAGTAAGTGCTGGGAGTTCATGTTGAAGCCATGGGAACAAAACCGAATCAGATTTCAGCCGTACGTTTAAAAGACTTCGACCCCAGGTTTTCATCTCTTCACTAGCTAGTTTGAAATTTCACACAATGATCAGTTACGAGGAGAATGTTGGTTCCACAAAACTTCTGCAATGTAAAGAGTGACTGCGTTTTGTTCTCTTCCACTGCAAAATGGTACGAAAAACAGGGCTTTTTCACAGGATTGCTGGGAACATTAAATTGCCTGTGACACATAAGGCACTGAGAACAGCACCTGTGCATGGCAAATACTCAGTGGTGGTGGCAGCCAACGTGGTGATGGCGGTAATAGTTACAGCGGTGTTGTGGTGGCTGTTACTTGTCGTCCCCACCTTGATCATTAGCTTCTAATAACTGTGTTTCAAGAGCTCTAGAAAACACTTCTCATGCTTCATGGCCCAGGTCTCAATCTTACAAGAGGCGGGCCAGAAATTCACATTTACCCATCTAAAGTTCTTATAACCTAATTTACATATTTCTTCCACATTCATACCACCAGAAAGCTGTCCTTTGTGGGCTGTCTCTAGCCCTCCCATGAATATCGTGCAACATTTCCAGTCTTGGTTTTGCTGTGGTTCTTTATTTCCCTATTATTCCTTGGTCTTACTCTATTATTTCTTTGTCAAGTTTGTTAACTAAAAGCCCAAGGTTAATTCCCCCAGAGGGTGACCTGCTGTTGTTTTCAATGCCACTAGATGGCAGCAAACTGTCAATAATATTTTGACACATACTCGGGTTTGTGCAGGTGAACCAGCATGGCCTGTGCAGCCAGGCCGGACCTCACTTCAGCGGTGTTGTGGGGGGTGAGGCCTCTTCCTCCTACAGAGAAGACGAGCACATTTTTCAGGAGCAAGGGCTATGAGGTCAGGGAGGCCAGGCTACACTGCACAGTGTTAAGAATATGGCTCTGGGAGTCAGTCAGGCACAGGGTTAAAACCGAGCAGATCAGTCTCACTGGCTTTGTAGGAAAAACAAAGGCAAACAAAAAGTCAACAGGGCCACAGACTGACCGTATGATCTCAACCTTGTTTATTTCTCTGGACCTCAGAGACCTTTTCACAAAACAGGTATAAAACCACCCACTGTATCCCAGACCATCCCTTAACCTCTGATTCTTCATCCGAAAGATGGGCTTAGTAATCACCCTGTCTCTTGGAATTTGGAGTAAATTAAAGTGAGAAACTTAGTGTGGGTTCTTAGCATAGTACCAGGGACACATAAATACTCAATAAACGTTCAATAGTCTTATGAGTATTAGAATAAATTTTAGGCCGGGCACAGTGGCTCAAGCCTGTAGTTCGAGCACTTTGGGAGGCCAAGGTGAGGGAATTGCCTGAGCCCACGGGTTCAAGAATGGTCTGGGCAACTTGATGAGCCCTCATCTCTACAATAAATATTTTTTAAAAATTAGCCGGGCATGGTAGCGCACACCTGTAGTTCCAGCTACTTGGAAGGCTGAGGTGGAAGGATCGCTGGAGCCCAGCAGGTTGACACTGGGGTGGCCACGAGCATGCCACTGCACTCCAGCCTGGGCGACAGAGTGAGACTTCAACTCAAAAAAAAAAAAAAGAAATTTTACCATACACAAAAATCAACTCTAAATGAATCAAAGACCTAAACGTAAAACCTCAAACTATAAGAACCTTAGAAAATGCAGGAGACACCTTTATGGAAATTGGAATGGCAACCAATTCCTGATCAAAACCCCAAATACCCCATGCCATAAGAGATAAGATAGACAAGTGGGACCTCGTCAAGCCGAAAAACTTCTGCAAAGCAAAAGAAACCTTCAAAAGAGCAGGGAGACAGCCCACAGAATGGGAAAAAATATTTGCCAACTATATATCTGACAAAGGCCTAATATCCAGGATCTACAAGAAACTCAAATGTGCCAAAAAGAAAAAAACAAACAGCCCTATTAAAAAGTGGGCAAGCTGGGCTCAGTGCCTCAGTCTGTAATCCCGCATCTTTGGGAGGCTGAGGTGAGTGGATGGCCTGTGCCCACGGGTTCGAGATCCGCATGGGCAACTTGGCGAGACCTCATCTCTACAGTAAATAAAAAAATTAGCAGGGCGTGGTAGCGCGCACCTGTCTTTCCAGCTACTTGGAAGGCTGAGGCGGAAGGATCGCCGGAGCCCAGCAGGTCCAGGCTGCGGTGGGCGGGAGCGGCCACTGCACTCCAGTCTGGGCGATAGAGTGAGACTCCAACTCAGAAAAAAAAAAAAGTGGGCAAAAGATATGAATAGACACTTCTCAAAAGAAGATATACAAGCCACCAACAGATACATGAAAAAATGCTCAGCGTAACTAATGATCAGAGAAATGCAAATTAACACCACACTAAAATACCACCTAACTCCAGTCAGGATGGCCATCATCAATAACTCAAAAAACAACTGATGCCAGAGAGAATGAGGGGAAAAGGGAACACTTCTCTACTGTTGGTGGGAGTGTAAACTAGTACAACCTCTGTGGAAAGCAGTGTGGCAATTCCTAAAAGATCTAAAATTCAACCTTCCATAGACCCTGCAACCCCCTCTCCCCCCTTCTGGGACTATACCTGGAGGAACTCAAATTACTCTATGGAAAAGATACCTGCACATGCATGTTTATTGCAGCATTATTCACAATAGCAAAAACATGGAACCAACTGTACTGCCCATCGAAAGAGAACTGGGTAAAAATGTGGTACATATACATGATGGAATACTACGCAGCCATAAAGAAGGACAACATTATGAGCTTCATAGCAACTTGGATGGATTTAGAGTCTGTGATACTGAGTGATCTATCACAGAAACAAAGAGTTGAGTACCACATGTTCTCAGTCATGAGCAGACCCTGAACAATTATCATCATAATACTATAAGAAAGGGATCAGCAGTAGAGGGAAACTGCCAGAGGAGAGAGAGGGAACACACCTCATCCATAAGGGTACCTGATCTCAAACCAGGTGAAGTGGGGACCAAAGTGAGGCCCAAGTTTTACCTGTACAATGACCATTTGTATACCTAACCCTGAATCATACCCCACATCTTTAAAATTAAGGAGAAAAAAAAGAACTATGGAAAAATAAAGGCATCATTGTGCAGAGCCAAATAACATCAGGCTGGCTTCCTGTTCGCTTTCCCTTTAGTGTCTGATTCCAAGTCTTATTCCCAGATTTAATTTACTGGCTTCAAACTCCACTTGGTTTCATTACTGCCATATGCCGGCTTCCACTTCCTGTCTCTGCCTGGTGCTCACCCTCAGTCTCCAGTTATATTCTAACCAAAGCAGGGCCAGTTCATACAGCACCTGTGTGAATTAGACAAAAGTGTCCCTACCTTAAAACATTTTATTTTATAAGAGACAGGGTCTCTTACTCTGTTGCCCAGGCTGGAGTGCAGTGATGCAATCATGGCTCACTGCAGCCTCAACCTCCTAGGCTCAAGCGATCCTCCAGCCTCAGCCTCCTGCGTAGCTGATTCTCAGCTATTTTAAAATTTTTTTGTAGAGATAGGGTCTTACTTTGTTGCCCAGACTGGTCTCAAATTCCTGGACTCAAGCAATCCTCCTGCCTCAACCTCCCAAAGTGCTGGGATTACAGGCATGAGCCTGGCCCTTCAAAACACTTTAATATTATCTGTTGAGAAATCATCATAATGTACCGATTTTTTTTTTAACAATAACAAATGTATTGCTGTCAGGGAACATCCTGGCAGGACCTTACATGGCAGCACTGGCTCTCAAGTTCTCTCATCTGAGTCCTCAAGGTAACCGGGGTCTGAGGATTTCTGGAGCTCTGGAATTTTTTTCTTTTCAAAAAAGTTTAAAAGCCCTAAAAGAGGCTTTTCGAAATCTGAAGCAGGGGGATTCTCGAGGAAGGGGTGGCCCTGGCAGCGGCGCTCCGGCTTTGAATGAACAGGGCTGGGGATCGAAGGTGTGGAACTCAAGTTCGAGGAGGCGCCTGGCAGCTCCTGTGTGCGCACGTGGCCCACGGCCGCTGGGAGCCTCCTCTGGGCAGCCTGGGAGGCGGGGAGCAGATTTTTATTCCCTCCATGGCCATCACACAATGTCGGTTATTTTAAAGTTTATACCTGCCTAGCAACAGTATTCTCATTCCTAAAGAGATTAATATGCAGATCTGGCAGAGGCCAGAAACTAAGTGGAGACCAAATCACTTTGCCAACTACTGTTGACTATTCATCAACTCCTAAGGGTGACCTCCCGGGATGAAGTGGCCCCCACAAGTGTGAAAAACAAAGAAAGGAATGGGAATGTGGCCACACGGCAAGTCGGCAAGTCGCTTTGGAACAACTGAAACCTGATTGTGTTAAGGACATGACACCTTAAAGGAGGAAAACTCAGAAAATCGTCATTAAGAAGAGACTGGGTGTGGTGGCTCAGACCTATAATCCCAGCACTGTGGGAGGCGGAGGCAAGAGGATTGCCTGAGCTCAGGGGTTTAAGACCAGCCTGGGCAGCTTGGCGAGACCTCAGCTCATCTCTACAATAAATAAATAAATAAATTAGCCAGGTGTGGTGGTGCATGCCTGTAACTCCAGCTACTTGGAAGAGTGAAGCGGAAGGGTCACCTAAGCCCAGCAGGTCAAGGCTGCGGTGGCCATGAGCGTGCCGCTGCCCTCCAGCCTGAGCGACGGAGTAAGACTCTGACTCAAAAAAAAAAAGAAGAAGAGAGAAGCGTTAACTTTTGGTATCTCAGATGGTAGTACAGTTTTCTCAAGTAGATCAGCAGCACATGATACGCCTTTTATCCATCAGTCTTTGAAATGAGGTGACTTAGATACCTGGCAAGAAAATATCAACACGTGGGAAGAAGACGACACAGCCTGGCAAGCAGAAGTCCCGAGGCAGCAGAAAGTAGCAGACAGAGAAAAAAGAACAGCAGAACAGCAGAGGAAGAAAATGGAAAAGGAAGCACAGCGGCTAAGGAAGAAGGAAGAAAGAGACATTGGTGTGAATCTTTCATAACAAGTGTTCTCGGGTGTTCCAGTGCCAGTGCGAGAAGTCTGGGCTCTGCCACTCAGGCAGCCTTTGTATGGATTAAAGAGCATTTCCAGAGTGCAGCCCGCTGCTTGATTTTAATGCCTTCAAGACACCAGGCTTCTCCCAGAGAGCCTTGAGCTCTTAGTGGCCGAGACTCAAAAACAAAAAAGACTCCCAGGATAATATTTTCTTCACTGTGCTTGAAATCTAAGACAATTGTTCACTGTGCAGAAATGATTACAAATGGAATATACCAGTACCTCTCAAGCTAGTGTTTCTAGCTTAATAAATCGGTATAAATAATTTTATGGTGGAAAAGACCTCTTCTATCTGCTATGATTTCCTTCATTGGGCATAATGATAAAATAATTTTCATATCCTTTTGTTTCCTAAATGAGACAAATTGTAGGGTTTTAACTTTTTAAGTTTTTATTGTCAAATGATGATGTTGGCATACATTTTCCCTAATTTGAACTGATTTTGTTTATGTTTGATACAACATTAAGGAATGTGATGATTTGGGTTTTCATGAAAATGATGCCAAATGTGATAATTTTATGTATCATAAAGATTGCATACATCATTGTTTTCTTTTGGATGATATAATGTTATGCATATTTGTAATTTGTATCCCCTGCATAGACATTGAAAATCAACTAAAATGACAAGTTTGTTTTTTGGTTTTTGTTTTTTCAAGTTGGAGTCTCACTCTGTCGCCCAGGCTGGAGTGCAGTGGCCGCTCCTGGCCACCGCAGCTTCGACCTGCTGGGCTCCAGCGATCCTTCCGCCTCAGCCTTCCGAGTAGCCGGAATTACAAGCATGTGCCACCAGGCCCGGCTGATTTTTTGATTTATTATAGAGATGAGGTCTTGCCAAGTTGCCCAGGCGGGTCTCGAACCCGCGGGCTCAGGCAGTCCACTCACCTCAGCCTCCCAAAGTGCTGAGATTAGTTCTCCAGGTGACTCTAATGAGCCACCAAGCCCGGCTTTTACATGATTACGACTAGTGAGTTTTAAGAACTAGTATTAGTGGGCTTTCCCTTTCATTATAGACAAGATGCTATGTTTATAAGTACCTTGGTTCAGCCGGGCTCGGTGGCTCAGCCTGTAATCCCGCGCCTTTGGGAGGCTGAGGTGAGTGGATTGCCTGAGCCCGCGGGTTCGAGACCCGCCTGGGCAACTTGACGAGACCTCATCTCTACAATAAATCAAAAAATTAGCCGGTCGAGGTAGCGCTCGCCTGTAATTCCAGCTACTCGGAAGGATCGCCAGAGCCCAGCAGGCGAGGCTGCGGTGGCCGGGAGCAGCCACTGCACTCCAGTCTGGGTGACAGAGTGAGACTCCAACTCAAAAAAAAAAAAAAAAAGTACCTTGGTTCATCTAACCCTGCCCCACCAAAAGCCATTAATCTGCAAATGCAGAAAGCCATCAGTACTAACATTTCAAAGTTTTCAGATGATTTCTGTATCAGCTTCACCTGTCTGACATTATACAGGTTACCCGTGTTGTTGGCTAAGGTAACATTATAGATTCACTAAGTTATAACCCATTAAAAAAAAGAAATCTGAATCATCACATTCTAATGTCCACATACAACACTGAAATAAATCTACCCAGAATGACTTTCACTCTTTTCCTCATTCAGGGACATGTGGCTTATGTATTAACTCAAGAAGCTGGCGAATATTTGCTTTGGAATCCATCAACTGGGCAATGTCATAAGCAGTTGGACCCATTTTGTCCCTTACAAAGTGTAGATTGTTTGTTTGATGACAGAAATGTAAGTATGGGGGAAATCTTACTTTGAGTTATCTTCTCAAGTGTCACCCTGGCTACACATTAGAGTCACCTGGAGAACTCTGAAGAAAATAGAGATATTCAATCAGATTCCCTGGGGGCCTGGGCACTCCTGTATCCCTAATGTTCCCCCAGAGGACTCTGCAGCACCTCCAAGGTTGAGAACCAGTGAGGCTGCCTGGCGATCACGACACCCTGGCATCTCCTGTTTCCCGCCTCAGAACCCCCCTTGGCTTCTGCCACTTCCTTGGGTCTAAGGTGTAAAACTTGCTGCATCCTCACCAACTACGGGCCTGTGCTCCCATGGACCTACACTGATTTTATGTTCGTGTTTTAATAGGTCTGGTTTAATATTCAACAAAATAATACACCCATGGCGGTACTTTTTGACACGGAAAGTTTTTGGAAACAGTTGCTTCCAAAAAGTGTCCAAGGGACAAAAGCACAAAGTATACAGGTAAATTCTATTTTTCTAGGTGTGTCTGCACGAGCGTTACCATTGTTTCTAGCATTTACTAGTTGCAACAGATCTTCATAGGCTTTATAGTTGATGGTTTTTTGAATTATTCGGCAATGATAATTTTTTAAAAACTGATTTTTTCCCTGCCACCCAGCCATGTTTGGGCTACTTTGGCCCCTTTCCTTATCTGCAGAAGAAAGAAATTGAGAAGAAACTGTCACCTCAAATTAACATATATTTAACATGTTAAATATATGTTAAAATAGAATCTTCAAAATTTTCATCATAAAACATAGCATATAATGTTCAAGATGTTTCTACTCTGACCTAGCCCTCCTGCTCCCCATCCATGGTGCTGATCACCTCTAAGACTGACAAACAGCAAGGCTCATCTGGGCTCCCAACCATAGTAGCTACCTCACGGAATGGAAACAGGACAGAAACACGGGCAGGACAGGGCTGAAGTGGAGAGGGCAGAAAGGTCTGAAGGTGCTTCACGAAAGCCAGAGAACCAGAGCAGACATCACACTTGTTGAAGCCAGGGACTGTGATGGGGCTCCCCTATTCCCCTGCTCTGAAAGAAGATGGGAAGAAAAGCTACAGATGCACCACCTGGAGTTCAGGGGCGAGAGATCAGGAGTGAGCCCAACCCCTGGATGACTTGGACAGCGGGTCTGCGATGTTCTCAGTGTCGTTGTGGCAGGGTCCTGCAAACACCACGTCAACGGCTGTTTCTGGATGGTGGGTACAGGCAACTGCAAAGTCCACAAACTAGGAGCTATGAACCCGGAGTGGGCGGGGGGAGACAGAAAAAAACAGTAGAAAAACAGGCTCAGCCTGTCATCCCAGCACTTTGGGAGGTTGAAGCGAGGGGATTGCCTGAGCCCACGGGTTTGAGACCCACCCAGGCAACTCGGTGAGACCTTGTCTCTACAATAAATTAAAAAATTGTCAGGCGTGGTAGCGTGCGCCTGTAGTTCCGGCTACTTGGAAGACTGAGGCAGAAGGATTGCCAGAGTCCAGCAGGTCAGTGCTGGGGCGGCCATGAGTGTGCCACTGCACTCCAGCCTGGGCAACAGAATGAGACTCCAACTCAAAAAAAAAAAGAAAAGAAAAAGAAAAACAGGCAAAAGATAACTCACAGAAGCAGAAACTCAAGTGCTCAACTTTGCTCATAATCAGGGAAACACAATTTAAACCAATTAAACTATTTTGCATGCACAAAATTGGCAAAAAAAAAAAGCGATCAGACCAAGTGATGGCAAAAAGGCAGAGAAAGAGTAGGGACATTCACTTCCATAAACACTCTGGAAAAACAACATGATGGTATCTGGCAAAGCCGAAAATGCATAACCTTTCATCCACCGATTTCAGCTTCTAAGTGTGTCCCCTAGGGGAACATTCACAGGGAGACAGGTACAACAATGCTTATCGTAGAATTGTTTGAAATAACACATGCCTGGAGACAATTCATCAAGCAGGAAAGTTGATGCATGAATTGTGAAGTCCTTGTATGATGAAATCTGTACAGCAGTGAAAGCTGAACCAATTTACAGAAGTTCTTAATATGACTGTATAAGCACAATATAAGAATCTCTGCGGGCAGACCCCACCCATCAGGAGTTCTGAAATCTAATGAGTTGGTGCCAGTGTACAGCCAAGCTTGAGAACCACTGACTGAGATCCCTGCATGTCTACATGAGTGAATATATCAAATGTAATATTAAGTGATAGAAAGATGTGAAATGACTCATGCAGTACAAAACTATTTCTATGAAGTGTGTGTGTGTGTGTGTGTGTGTGTGTGTGTGTGTGTGTGTGTGTACTGTGTGTGCTGTGTTCTATAAAAGCATTCATGGAAATGATAAATACCAAATTCAGATCAAAGGTTACCCTTGGGAAGAGAAAGAAGGAACACAATCAGGGAGCAGTATACAGAGTACTTCAAGTCTGTCTGAGTGTCTTATTTAAAAAAAAAAAAATCTAGGTCAGATGTGGTGGCTCACACCTGTAATCCCAGCAGTTTGAGAGACTAAGGTGGGAGGATCCCTTGAGCCTAGGAGTTCAAGGCTGCAATAAATCCTGATCATACCACTGCACTTCAGCCCGGGTGACAGAGCAAGACTCTGTCTCTGAAACAAAAACAAAACTAAAACAGATATGGAAGACAGCAAAGATCAGATGGAGCTGGGAGGTAGAGGTGTTGGGGGTGTCCATTACATTCTTCTCTGTGCTGGTTTGTCTATTCAAAAGCAATTCATCCTATCAAAAAGAATGCATGGTGGTTGAGCGGGAAGAAATCAGAATACCGAAGTGTATAAGGGGAAGAGAGTCTTTCCCCTTCAACACTTTTCCCACCCTTGAAGAAATAACTACTGTCAATGGTTTCTTCTGCACCCTTCTAACCTTCTTCATGCGGATGCAAGCATTTATATGTATTCGTATATTTCCTGTTTGAAAAGTCCTTTTAGAGAAGGGGAAACCTTTCTATAAACCTCTTTCTTAGCAAACCACATTTATAGCCTTGACAACTCCTGCTTTGCTTTGCCCATCCCAAAGCTGTGACCAAAGCATTGCCGCATCCTAGAGGGAGAAAGATCTATTTAGAGATGAGGTTTTGGTTACCATCCTAGGGAAGATAGATGTATTTAGAGACGAGGTGTTTGTTTCCTGTATGCTCATTTTCTTATTCATCCAGATGATACTTAACTATTTCCTGCTATGAGCCAATGCTATGTTGGGTGCAGATACGACAAAGAAAAAGACACGTCTGTCTCTGTGTTCTTGGAACTTGGGTTCTAGAGGAGGAAATAAGGAAACCAGTGAGTGCAGCTCAGACTGATAAATGCTATTCATATTACAGAAGAAATGAGTGTGCTCTTGGGAGCACACAGCAGGAGGACCTGAGGGAAGAGGGAGCTGCAGGGAAAGAGTGATGTCCAGCTGAGTGAGGGAGGGTGAACAGGAACCGGCCGAGGTAAAAGTCAGGGAAGAGAATGGTCCCAGCAGAGAGTGGGAGCAGAGGGTGGGAAGACCTGCAGTGACAGGAAGATGTCCCTCCTGGAGCTGAAAAGCAGCCCAGCCACTGCCAGGAGAGATGAGCTGAGGGTGAGCAGAGATCCGGCAAGGGCTCTCAGGCCTTCATCCTCGGGGCAGCCAGAAGCCAGCATCACCAAGGCAAGGGCTGCCGTTGTCAAAATTGTGTTTTTAAAAGCCACTCTAACTGGGGGTGGACACCAAAACCTTTGGCCAAGTTGGGTCTATACATAGAAAGCTCATGGCTGTGTTGGACTTGTATCTCTATTGGCTTCTTTCCTGTGGGTTAAAGCCCCTCAGTCTTTCGCCTTGCCACATACAGCCCAGTATAAACCACTATCTAGAGGGAACACCATTCGCTCCACACAACTGGGAACACATTCGAATGTGTATGATGAGACATTCGAAGGGGTCCGGGGGGAGCTCCTCTCGAAGTTTCGAAGGGCGTGAGTTCCCTGACAGGAAGGAGCCATCGCCAGAAAAGGAACGTGGGCAAACACCCCCCAAATTTCTCAAGTCAGCATCACCCAGGCCTCTTTTTCGGGCTTGAAGGTGGCCTAAGGAATCCACAGGAGTTTCCTGGTATGGGTTGGACAGCCGTGGGTAAGAGCCGTCAGGGAATCCAGTCCACCCATCCTCTCTGGATAGCTGCCGGCCCCTGCAAGGTGACGCTGAAGTCCATCTTCTGTTCTCAGGATCTTCTGTATCCTGCCATGCTCTGAGACTCCCTCTTATCTGGTAGTTCTCAAACCATGGCAGGCATCTGAGTCACAGGGTGGGCTTGTCAAGACGCAGGTTACTGCGCTCACCCCAGAGCTCCTCAATCCGTAGGTCTGAGGTAAGGGCCCAGGATGTGTGTTTCTAGCATGCTTTCAGGGCTGGGTTGTTGGTCTAGAGGCCACCACACTTTGGGAACCTAGAGGCCTATCAAGGGTTGCCCACTTTTTGCACCATCCTCGTTCCACTTCTGGGGGGAGGGACATCTGTCCCTGTCCCCACATCTGCCTCTATTCCTCAGCTAAGGAGTCCCACAGTAAAAATCTAAACCCAGCCCTTTACATTTGCCCAGCAAGGAGAGGGGGCTAGGTGGGGAGGGGAGACTTGAAAAGTTCGCCCCCTCCTCCCAGAAAATCCTGCCCAAGAAGAAACATGGAAAGGCATTGCTCCCTGCTCTTGGGGGCTCCTGGAGCAAAGCCTTAGAGACAGGGGAGATTGAAATGGACTGTACGTGTGTGTGTACACAAACATGCACAAAGAACTAGCTCCTGCCTGCTAAAAGAAACAAAGAAGATAAACCAAGTAAAAAGAGTATTAAAGTCTGATGTGAACCGAGCATCCCGTATGTGCTCAGCTTTACATGTATTACTTTATTTTAAAATCTTCCCAAGACCCCAAAGCAGTGGGCCCTATTATTGTCCCTGTTTTAAAGATGTGGTAACTGAGACTCGGAAAAGAGACTTTGCCAAGGTCACAGTGGAAGAGACTAGAACAGCTACCAAGGATAATTTGGTAGAATCAATAAGCATGTCAGAATAAATGAAGCAGGTCTGCCTAACCCATGAAAAATATCTTCTTTTGTGAATCTATCCTCCACCCCCCCATGCTCTGGTGAAGGAGTCTGTAAATCAAAGGAAACACCATGGCTTTCATTTTACCTATGTGATTGAGAGTTTCGCTGCAAGAACTTGGTTTGGGATTCCCCTTAATATAGTTAGCACAGGGTGACTGTGATGTAAAGATGGCTTCTCTAGAACCTTCCCTAACTTTCCGTTGTCTGTCTTTCAGCCTGAAGAAATAATTTACTCTGATACTGATAAAAGCATGGTGGAAGAGCTGATGTACAGGTGCCGTGTTTTCCCCCAACCTCTTGTTCAACCACCTTTCAGTCCTCTGACCCAGGCTTCCAAAATACCTGCCAGATTCAGCAACAGAAAGCATGAAAAGGCAGGGAGGGGATCACAGTTGGTCCTACTGAGCCCCCTGGCTCCTCTGCCATCTGGGGCATTCCTTGAAAGGACAGGCAAAGGTAACTCTGGAAAACCCAGTGGGCCACTATGGAAAGTTCTCAGCATAATTTCCGCTGAGCCCATTGTGATAACAGCACTGTAGCTAACACTTCTGGGAAGGACATGGAGGTAAATGGCCCATGATTTCGGGTGTGCTAAAAACATCACAGTTGTTGGTAGAAACAGCAGTGCAGCCAATCCTGAACAATTCCGCTTTCAGACACATACCCATGAGTACCTGGAAGGGCTGGTCAGTCAAACCCAAGGACTCACAGGCTTCTGGGCCTGACAGCCTCCAGCGACTGCCTCTCACACAGCAGGCCAGCGTGAGAGCCACTTCCAACCCATCAGGACAGAGTCACTCCTTTTCTCTCCAGCATGCAGCATACCCCCCAACACACACACACTGTCATTCCCACTTCTCATTCCCCAGTTCTTAACAGAAAAAGGAAGAAACGTTCCCAATTTCTGGTTTTCACTAGAATCGCTTCTAGAAATATTAAAAAAAAAAAAATTACAGGTGCCAGCGTCCCAGGCCAGGCCCGCTGAACCACTATCTGGGTGCCAGAGGAGGAAATAAGGAAACCAGTGAGTGCAGCTCACACTGATAAATGCTAGGATGGAAGAAATGAGTGTGCTCTTGGGATGTCTGGAGGGAGGAGGAGCTGCAGGGGCTTCCTGGGAAAGAGTGATGTCCTGCTGAGTGAGGGGGGGTGAACAGGAACCAGTGGAGGTGAAAGTCAGGGAAGAGAATGGTCCCAGCAGAGAGTGGGAGCAGAGGGCAGGAAAACCCGCTCAGGAGGGAAAATATTCTTATAAATCTCTGCAAGGGATTCTGACACACAGCCACTATCAAGGCCCCTCTGCAAACTCCACACTGCTTAGTTGTGCTATAAACTTAGTCAAAAAGGGACTCCCAGCCGGTCTTCCAGAACACACTGCAGTTAGAGAATCGTTCCCACCTAATCCTCCTGCACAGAGGGGCTTTTCAAGAGGAGCCCCCACAGCCAATCCACATTGTGTCTCCCTTCTCTCCCCTCCCTGGCATGTTCCTTACCAGGCACCGTGCCAGGGCCTGGGTATACAGGTAGAAAAAAAACCCTGCCTGCAAGGAGCTTACCTTCCAGTGGGGGAAGCTGCCCACCACATTTATCAATCCAGCGTTTCATTTACTCATAATCCCATCCCTGCTAATATCATCCGAGACCAGATACCTGAATTTTCACGATGGCAGTTTCTTGGAAACACAATGTCCTACATCAAAGGAGAGTGTCGAAGAGTAGGACTATCATCAACCTAGTAATCAGATGGTAGGTGTTTTTATATCATACCTAGGAGGCAGCTGCCCACACACAGGCAACTGAAAAGAGATGTGCCTTGGAGAGCTCATTGCTGGCTGTCCTGGAAGGCTTCTTGCTTTCCAAAGCCCATAAGAGCCTGCTTCTCGGCCAGACTCAGTGGCTCAGCCTGTAATCCCAGCACTTTGGAAGGCTGAGGCAAGTAGATTGCCTGAGCTCGCGGGTTCAAGACCAGCCTGGGCAACTTGGCAAGACCTCATCTCTACAATAGATAAAAAATTAGCCAGGTGCCTGTAGTTCCAGCCACTTGGAAGGCTGAAGCGGAAGGATTGCCAGAGCCCAGCAGATTGATGCTGGGTTGGCTATGAGTATGCCACTGCACTCCAGCATAGGTGACAGAGTGAGACTTCAACTCAAAAAAAAAGACTTCTCTCCAACTTGATGAATGTAAATGGTGGCAGATACCCCTAGCTATAGAGATCTGGTTTCCTCCCAAGTCAAAAAATATAATTCTCATACTTGGATAAAAGTGACAAAACTCTTATCACTTTTACTAAATGAGTTGTAATTGGTCATAACATTATCTTTGCATTCTTACCTTAGTATTGAAAGGACTCTAAGGTGTAAAATGATGGAATGGAGACCGACACACCCAACACGCTGGAATCGACAATGTACTTCCATTTTGCGACAAATCCTACCTAAGCTGGAGCTTAGCACCGGAAGCTTTGTTTCATCTGAAGAAGACAGTGAATTTGAAAGACTACAAGAATTTTACTGGGTTTGTATATGATGTAATGCACTGAGGATGTTTGTTTTTATCTATGTTGTTAATTGCTAGATAATAGCAATTTTAAACGTCTCTAAAATGTCTGTTGTCTTGATGGAAGATAGTTGCTATAGCATGAAAATGCATTTACTAGCTGGGTGTGGTGACTCATGCCTATAATCCCAGCACTTTGGGAGACTGAGGCAGGATGATCGCTGAGCCCAGGAGTTGGAGAACAGTCTGGGCAACATAGCAAGCCCTCATCTCCACAAAAAAAGTTTTAAAAATTAACTGGGTGTGGTGGTGCCCACCTGTAGTTCCAGCTGCTCGGGAGGCTAAGGCAGAAGGATTGCCTGAACCCAGAAGTTTGAGGCTGCAGTGAGCCAAGCTCATGCCACTGCACTCCAGCCTGGGTGACAGAGTGAGACCCCGACTAAAAAATATAAATATATATAATATGTGCATATTATATATGTAGTATACACACATATATACACGTATTTAAAGATGCATTTACTTATAAATCAAGACATTTCAAATGTAGAGAAAAGTTATTAGTAGGCCCATAATGCATGGCATTTTCTTGAAACCAGTCATGCTTTATGACATATGAACTACACACATTGCAAAGACATGCCCAAAAGGAAACCATCTTGCAACTAAGAAACCTAAAAATTGATTTCTAGATTGGATTCCCTGTCATTGATTTTGGGCAGTATCTTGTATATGCAAATTGCAATGGTCCCTTGTATGCTCAGGGAATTTGGTCCAGGACCCCCATGAATACCAAAATCCAAGGATGCTCAAGTCCCTTATATAAAATATACATCTAAAAATGCATAGGCTGGGCTCGGTGGCTCAGCCTGTAATCCCAGCACTTTGGGAGGCTGAGGTGAGTGGACTGCCTGAGCCCACAGGTTTGAGACCCACCCGAGCAACTTGGCGAGACCTCGTCTCTACAGTAAATCAAAAAAATTAGCCGGGCGTGGTAACGCATGCCTGTAGTTCCAGCTACTCGGAAGGCTGAGACAGAAGGATCGTCAGAGCCCAGCAGGTTGAGGCCGCGGTGGCCGGAAGTGTGCCACTGCACTCCAGTCTGGGTGACAGAGTGAGGCTCCAACTCAAAAATAAAAAATAAAATAAATAAAAATGCATAGCATTTGCATATAACATACACACATCCTCCTGTATACTTCAGATCATCTCAAGATTACTTACAATACCTAACTCAATGTAAGTGCTATGAAAATAATTATTATACTATATTTTTAAATTGTGTTATTTTTCATATTGTATTGTTATTTTTTGCTGGTTTTTTTTCTATTTCCCATCCATGGTTGGTTGAATTTCTGAATGCAGGACCCATAGATATGAAAGGTCAACTGTCATTCCAAATTTATACATTCAGCCTGGACCGTTCTCCTGGCCTCCCTTCTTTATATGTTCACCAACCCACTGACATCTTCTTGGATGGTAAAAAGGTGCCTTAAACCTAGCAAGTCCGTGAGCAAATACTGTGGGCATCTGGCATGTTGTTAGGGCCATCCTTTCTTTCTCCCACTCCACCTCCACCTCTGGGCAGCCCTTCACCTCCTCTTCCCTGTAGACTGGTCCAGAGAGCCCTCGAAAACCCCAGCCTCCCAAGGCTGAGATTCCTTCTTACTAACATCCTGTAGACTAGGAGATGTCTCTTAGAGGAACTCTCTGGGCAGGCGAAGTACAACATCTGTCAGAAGTTGAGTACTTGGGCGCCAGGGAGGGATCTCCAGGAACTCTTCATTCATGAATAGGGAAGAAGTTACTTTTGTTTTGCTTTGTTTTAATAGAATTAAAAGGTAAACAAGCAAATAAGACATAGTTGTGCGTATGTATGTATATATATGTCAAGGTTTAAAACTTGGGGTTCCTATGTAAAATTAGCTATTTAATAAGACACCATCAATAAGAACAAACCTAGGCTAAACCCTGCAGTCTATGCTTAAATCCTAGCTTAACCATTCACTAGCTTTGACCTAGGGCAGGTTCTCAACCTCTCTCTATACCATCCACCCCATAGGATAATAGGAATAAAAAAATAAGTGATCTCTTTTGCCATTGTGTGTTGAGGATTATGTGAGTTAATACTTACTTACCATAGCACCTAACAATACCTAGTAAGCATTTAGCAGATGCCATCTGTTCTTTTAATTCTATGTGCCAGGCTTTGTGCTAGGCACTGGAGTTAAGGCAATAATAGACAGATACAATCTTGTGCAGCCACCAGAGATGACAGGCCAGTGAGGAAGACAGACCAGAAAGCAAATAATTGCACTGTGTTTTATTAAGTAGTCATGGGAAAGACACAACCACATGGAAAGAATACATGAACAAACATACAGATCAGAAAAATCCTCCGAGGTAAGCAACCCTAGGCTTAAAGGGGTTTATGATTATCATCTGTGTATTATTAAATAGATAATTTTGCATAGAACCATGTTCCACAATCCTTTAATCTCGTCACATAGTAGTCACTTAATAAATACAAACCGAATCAATGTTGAATAAATTCCTCCCAAATTCTCACTGAAATCCTTCCTCCATAGGACCGAGTACTTTCCTGGTTAGCAGTCTGCTACCTAGAAAGGGTGAAAGTAAGTAGAATGCTAAATATGCAGGCTTTGGCATCAGACGAAGCTGATTGTGCTAGTCTCTGTATGGTGGGGCTTATAAAAAGAACCGACCCATAGGTTGTTTGAGAATGAAATATGTATGTGAAGTTTTTAGCTACACCTAGAATATAATCAGCACCCACAAAAAAACGGATTATTTAGGAGCTACCATTTCTTTGAGACTCCTGGGATCTTTTGCACATAGTAGTTCCAGATTCCCAGATTGTAACATGGGTGTACGTGTTGTTCTGTCTTTGATCCAGGTCACAGGATTTCCCATCCAGATGCCATACACAGATGTACAGTCAGTTATTGATGCTGTGTATCAAACTGGAATTCACTGTTCTGAGTTTCCCCAGACAGAGTTTGCTCTGGCTGTGTACATTCACCCATACCCAAGCAACATACTGTCCGTGTGGGTCTATCCAGTTTCCTTAGTCCGACATCAATGAAAAGGAGACGATGATACAATGGGCCTCCAGACCAGAAGCGGCCACAACTTCTCTGGTACTTTGGGATTTTGCTGCTTATCCTCAAGTCCAGCCAAGTGCTGAGCCCTATCCTGAATCCACTTAAAGAGCTGGGCACAATGGAGACTGAGTCCTTGAGGCTGAGTATGAATGGGCTTCTCACCAGAGACCTCTTCAAGGAGGACGCATTAAGCAGTCTGGCTGTCTTGGGTCACCGCCTGCAGAAGGTCTTATTCCGGGAAAGAAGCAATTCTGGCCTCGCCCCTCAAAACCAATGTTTCTCAAACTGTGGACCGCACAGCACCTCCCTCAGAATCATCTGGATAACCTTGTTGAACATGCAGATTCCCAGGCTCCACCACAACCTACTGAGTCCGAACCTCCGGGAGTATTTTCAACAAGCGCCCCAAATAGTCCTTATACTGTTGGCTGGGTTGGGGAGAAGACCAGCCTTGTCTGGAATGTTGTCATTATAAAGTCAGACTGGTACCGTTGATTCTGGTTCTCATATAATTCCAGGTAGATGTTACTCAGATGGAGACCCATTCATTGTCTCTCATAGATTAAAGTTGTTTCACTGATAAAGAAAAAAAAAGAAAGAAAGAAAATCTACCATGTTGAGCTGATGTCAGCTTCTGAAGAGTCTCAAGTTTGCACTTGGGATGCTACTGACATCCCCGTATAGCTCCAAGCAGTTAGAAGGGCCTTCCAGGAAACTCTAACTACTCTGGTCTCTCCTGATTCTGTAAGGGAGGAAACGGTCTCAAGAAACACCAGGGCTCCTTTTTTCTTTAATGAGCAGTTCCTCACTCTACTTTGAGCCCTTTTTGCTGCTTTTCTTTCCTAGTGGGGGCCATCCAGATCCTGGGAACCCCTCAAGAGAGAATGGACAGGAAGGACTGTAACTTTCTTTTTGTTGATTGCGTTGCGCTTCACTGAGAAAAGTATTTAAACAATTTACTTAAATGTGACACAGCAACTGATCGTTTCAGAAGAAATAATCGAGGGATATGGGTTTCCAAAGGACTGACCACAGCAATTTTATACGAGGTAAAGATAAAACTAAGAAAATCGACCTGTCCCATAACAGGGTCACTGGGGTTCCTTGGTTCACTCCCACAAGCAGAGAGCAGAGACCCCAAATTCGTCTGCAGGGAACATCCCCATCTGTATCCCAAATGTGCCTGCAGGACTGGTGCCAGAGAAGGGTCCATTTATTTGCAGCGATGTTAGCCTTGGACCAAGCTTGACACTAACAGGGGCAAAGTAGGAATGTGGGTGAGAGAATGTTTTCGCTCCCAATTAAAACCTAATTGTGCGTGTCTTGTGGCATGCACAAGAAACATGATCGGAATTTTTATTTTTATTTGAATGTTTGTGTTTAGATATGATATGAAGCTTTAGAAACATGTCTCCTGCTTTGACTGCCATGTGGTACAAAATGATGCCGATGGAAGATAAGGCTGCCCAAGAAAGGCTGGATTCATGCAGTGCTCATTTCTGGGGCACTTTGAACGCTTATGTAGCTATTTTATTAGTTGTTTATGGTTTTAGAATTGATAGGCCACTCAAAAGTAAGGCAGCGAGTGTTCTCAGGTCAGCACAGAGGACCCTTTCTGTATTGTTTGCATTCTTTTTTTTTAACTTGCGTGTGTGTTACTTTTTCAACTAAGTTTTTTTCTTTGAAATTATCTGTAATGAATTATGTTTTCTTTGAACCTTTGAAAAATATATGATTTTTAAATGGAATGTATAGTTGTAAAGTTCTTTAAGTCATTTTGCTAGTAATTATGAAGCATCCATTCTTCAAAAAAAAGACAATGGCCCTGCTGGTATGAGGCTTACATCCTTACAGGGAAACAAACCACCACGAAATAAAGGAAGCAAACAGGACGGGATGATAGAGCAAGACTTTGGGGGAGAATGAAGGGCGTAAGCAGAGTAGCCAGGAAAGGCCTCTCCAAAGAGACAATGGTCAAGCTGAGATTTTTAAAATGACTTATCCGTTAGAATTGCAATCAGTTGCAGGTAACGGCAACCTAACCACAGTGCCTAACCACACAGGGACTGCTTGTTCACATAACTTCAAGCACAGAGAAGGCATCTGAGTCTGGTCCAGTGGCTCCATGATGCTAGAGGTCTGTTGATTTCACCCAGTTTCTTGGCAATCTCTAGAGAGGCTTCAATCTTCTAGTTCAGAGGCTTTTGAATTTCACGAGTATGAGAAACACCTGAAGGGCTTGTTGAACTTCAGCGTTTCTGATTCACTGAGTCTGGGATGGGGCCTGATCATTTGCATTTATAAGTTTCCAGGTGACGCTGAGATTACTGACCAGGGGAGCACATTTTGAGAAGTTCAGCTCTAGTTTCACAGCCATGTTCATGGCCAGAAAATGCAGAAGGGAAGAGGAAGGTAGAGGAAGGGAGAGGATGTCAGCTGGTTCCGTTCTTTAAAAAAAGTTTTCCAGAAACTGGATGTGGTGGCTCATGCCCGTAATCCCAGCACTTTGGGAGGAGTTCAAGACCAGCCTGGGCAACATAGCAAGACCTCATCTCTACAAAAAATTAAAAAATTGGCCCGGCATGGTGGTAGCGTGTGCCTGTAGTCCCAGCTACTTGGAAGGCTGAGGCAGAAGGATTGCCTGAGCTAGAGAGGTCGAGGCTGTGGCGAGTTGTGCTCGTGCCATTCCAGCCTGGGCAAAAGAGTGAGACACCAACTCGAGGAAGAAAAAAAAAGCTTCTAGGAGGCTGCAACCAGTAACTTCCACTTATATCCCATTGGCCAGAACTGTAGACTTGGGAGATCTATTTTAAATGGACATATTTATTGCTCTCTGAACTAAAATCAGCATTCTGGTGGTTAAGAAGGAGAGCATGGCTGTTGGGTAGGCAGATAAGAGAGTCTACCAGCATGAGTGGAAGCCAGTCATGTAAAGACCTGTGGCAAAAGCATTTCCAGGCAGAGGAAACTGCGATTGCAAAGGCATCCAGTGCAGAAAGAGACTGGCCTGGGTGGGGACAGTAGTGGCACATGACACAGAAGAGGTGGCTAAGATCTTGTAGGTCATGGCAAAGGGTCTACGTTCTATTTATAGCACAATGGGAAATCATGGAAAGGTTTTAAGCAACAGAATAAAAGAATATTTGTCCTTTTTAAATATTTGAGATTAAACACTATTTTTACAGATACTCGTTGTTTTATAAAAGTGTATACATGTGATCATATTTTTAAGTGTAGATTTTATTTTTCTTTTCCTTTTTTGCTTGGGTCCCTGTCCCACTGTTCTCACCTCCTCCACCCACATGCTTCACCTCTCCCGCCTCCTTCCCAGTCAAGCGTATATTCTTTCACTCAACCAACCTCCTCAAATATTCATACACCAACACACAAGCATGCATCTGCCTTGTTTGTCTTAGAAACATGAGACCACATAATGTATGCTTTTCTGGATATCGCTTTACTACCTCAAAAATAGTGTAAGTTTTCTCAGGGAACTGCTCATTCTTCTCAAAGGATGCGGAACATTTTAGAGTGTGGGCAGACCTATTCCCTACACTTAAGGGGGACATGCACCACACAGCTCGGTTTATCTGCAAGGACCCCTCGAGCTGTGTCATGTGTTGCAGCTCTGGATGTGAACATTATTTATCATAGCTTATTCAGCCATTCCCCTACTGATGGGAATTTCTTTTGATCCCTTGGTTGATGTTTCACTTCTTCTATATCCTGGTTGTCTTTCTGTCTACTAATTCTATCAATTACTGAGAGAGAAGTGTTGAAGTTGCCAACTGTTATGAGTTTATCTATTTCTTCATTGTGAGTTTTTGCTACATGTATTTTGAAGCTCTTTTGTTAGATGCACACACCTTTAGGATTTATGTCTTCTTGGTGAATTAACCCTTTTAACATTATGCAATGTCCTTCTTTATCCCTAGTAATTTTCTTTGCTCTGAAGTCTGTTTTGTCTGATGTCAATGTAGCCAATCCAGCTTTCTCTTAATTAGGGTTTACCTGGTATGTATGTTTTTATCTTTTTCTTTTTCACATAATTTTGCAATTACAGTGAAAGTGAGTTTCTTGTAGACAACATATATGCGTACTTGGGTTATGGTAATTTTAAACACCCTAACGATCTCTTTTTTAATTGCTGTGTTTAGACCATTTATACTTAATGTAATTATTGGTATGTTTGGACTTAGGTCTAACATTTTATTGTTTGTATCCCACTTATTTTGTTCTGTTCCATTGTTTCTTCTTTCCTAGGTTATTTGAACATTTCTTGTATTTCATTTTAATATATATTAATATATTACTAATATATTAATATATAATGTATTACTATATCTATATACTATATAATAATTAATATATTATATATAACATTTAATATAATGTATAGGCCTGGTGCGGTGGCTCAGCCTGTCATCCCAGCACTTTGGGAGGGAAGCCGAGGCTAGAGGATTGCCTGAGCCCAGGGGTTCAAGACCAGCCTGGGCAACTTGGTGAGACCTCATCTCTACAATAAATCAAAAATTTAGCCAGATATGGTAGGGCATGCCTGTAATTCCAATTACTTGGAAGGCTGAGACAGGAGGATCGCCTGAGCCCAGCAGGTCAAAGCTACGGTGGCTATGAGTGTGTCACTGCACTCCAGCCTGGGTGACAAGAGAGAGACTCTGACTCAAAAAAAAAAAAAAAAAAAAAAAAAAAAAATATATATATATATATATATATATATATATATATATACACAATGTATAATTAAATACATATAAGACTCCAACTTTTAAATATATGTATTTAATATATCTGTTACATATCTTTTGTATGTATTTTATAAAACTTTCTAGATTATGCTAATACTCTAACTTTTCACAGTCTTCACAGAATCTACCACTTCAAGTGGAATGTAGGAATCTTACCACATACGGTCTTCCATCCTGCTTTCACAGTGAAGTTGTCTTATACCCGTATATTGCAT